ATCTTCTCCTGGATTCCTTCATTTGCTTTCCCCTCACCAATGCGAGTTGAACGCCAGGGACAGTACTGCCTTACACCGACCTCCTGAATGTGAGTCCCTTGTTTTCCTTATCTTCAAGTTCCTCTCCTGCCCCTTGGGCCAAGGACTTGGACAAATGCCAAGGTGAACATCAGGCTGAAGCTCAAGAGAGGGAAGTATTCATATTTGTTTTTAAAACGTAATAACCAAAATAAAATGTCCAAAGGAAGGTAATGTCCTTGGAAGGCAGACTTGTCACCTTCCAGCCATTGAACATTGAAGTTTAATGACCTCATCCAGCCTCAGTTTCCCCCTAGGTGTTCGATACACACATCTTGATCAGCCCAATGTCATGCTCGGAGTCAGAGCTCTGGGCTTGTGACTTGATCATGCAAATTCTGATCTAATCAGTGGGTTGATCTACAGATAAACTCCTAATTTGATGTCATTATTGGAAGGTCATGGAAATGAGGATATAAGGCTTAGTCACAGGATGCAGGTCACTGGGGACATGCCTTTTGAGGGTCTGCCTTTTTTCCCAGCCCTCTGGTCTCTATCTGCTTCCTAGACACCACGAGGTAAGCAATTTGTCTCTGCTATGTCCTTCCACCACACCCTCACCATGATCCTCTGCCTCACCAGGGCCCAGAAACAATGGAGCCAGCTGTGGACCAAAACCTCCGAAAGCATGCATCAACTGAACTCTTTCTTCCTTTAAGCTACTTTCCCAAGAATATCTCAGCTAATCTATCAGGAATTCCTGGATGTGAAGCTTGCCTAGCAAACGCATAATAGATTAACATTCAGAACCTTGCAATGCAAAGAGTATCCTGGATTATCCAGGATACTAAATCCACGAGGAATGTAACGAGTATTTCTTCCTTTTAAAGAATCAGTACTCTCAGGCACAATGGCTCAAGCCTTCCATCTTTGGTACTTGGAAGAGAGAGATCAGGCGATTGCAGTACAAGGTCAGCTCAGCTCTAACAGTTTGCAAGACTCCCTTTCAATCAGTGGCTGAGCACAGTGGTCACTGCCTGTTATCCTGAGTGACTTAGGAAAACACAAGTAGGCAGATGGAAGGAAGGGAGGAAGGAAGGAAAGAGGGAAGGAAGGAAGGAAGGGTGGGAGAAAGGAAGGAAGGAAGGAAGGGTGGGAGAAAGGAAGGAAGGAGGGAAGGAAGGAAGGAAGGGAAGGAGGGAGGGAGGGAGGGGGGCGGGTGGGAACCATACTCTATTTCTGCGTGGCTAAAAGTTTTACCTTTCGGGGATGGCAGGGTGGCTCAGTAGTAGAGTGTTTGCCTTACATGCATGAGGCCCTGAGTTCGATTCCTCAGCACCACATAAGCAGAAAAGGCTGGAAGTGGCGCTGTGACTCAAGTGGTAAAGGGCTAGCCTTGAGCTGAAGAGCTGAGGGACAGTGCCCAGGCCCAGAGTTCAGGCCCCACAACAGACAAAAAAAAAAAAAAAATGCTGTGTGCCGGTGGCTCACACCTGTAATCCTAGCTACTGAGGAGGCTGAGATCTGAGGATTGCAGTTCAAAGCCAGCCCAAGCAGAAAAGTCCGTGAGACTCTTCTCTCCAATAAACCACCAGAAAACTGCAAGTGGTGCTATGGCTCAAGTGATAGAGCTCTAGCTTTGAGCTGAAGAGCTGAGGGACAGTGCCCAGGCCCAGAGTTCAAGCCCCACAACTGACCAAAAAAAAAAGTTTACCTTTCATTTTTAAATAATCTTTTCTGTCAATTGTCAAGGGAAATGTTCTAACTGCCTTGAGACGCTGCTTTTGCTCACCACCCCAAGCAAATCAGTCCTGTAGCTCTTAATTTCCTCTCCACACAAGGACTCAGTTCTGAGAAGACCAGCCATGGGGATGCATGAAATAACCCCTGACTTCTCAGGGCTATTTTATTTACACATTCTGAGTCATTTCGACTCACATAGGTAAATTGGAGTTTAAATTAGACACTCTCTGGCCAGGCAAGTTATGCGGTTCCTAAAATGGAACTGGGCGAGAGGTGGTTTGACGGCCGCATCACACAGCTCATCCGCAGCCACAATCAGACTTCTCCATCGCCTGCCAAGTGTTGACAGTCCCGGGCTCCGCGCTGCACCATCTCATTTAAAGGCTTCGTTGACTTCTGGTAATCTTCCTCGGTTACTGAAAAGTATTGATCGTGTTTCCACACATCTCAGCGGAATCAGCTTCTCCACAAGTGTCGTCATGGACACCAGGGACCAGCTTGACCTGCGAAATAAGCGGGGTTGATGCCTGTTAATATCGTCTCTCTTCCAAGACACCACCAACTGAGGCGACTTTTAATTTGTTCTTAAAATAGGACACCTGCTCCTGGATGAGCCGCTCTCATGCGGTCCCCGTCATTGACAACCATCAGCCATATAATTGCTATCAGCAGCAAAAGTGGTGTAAGAGACCAAGAGCTCCATGGATGAAAAGAAAAAGAGATCACACGTGAGGCAGACGGGGTCAGAGGGCCTTGGACTGAGTGGAGTTAAAAGCCTAATCTCTTTCCTTCTTGGCCACGGATGCAAACAGTAGCACATGGGTACCCAACTCTCAAAATATTCCTCCCAAGAAAACAGGAACACGATAGGAACTTCCATGGTAGGACACTGGCCGTGACAGTGTTACTATGTATGACTCCTAAATTCCAGCAACTGATAAGAGAAGATCAGGGAAGATCCCTGTGGCCGTTTTAACTGATCACTGGCAGCTACAGAGGAGTGGTAGAATCGCAGCTAGTGCTGCACGTTAGTGTCCAGTGATTTGGGGAGATGTTCCAGTCATAATAGACTTTGGGATGAAGTCATACGGTGGGTGTTTTGGTCAGTCTGCACCACTACGACTTGTCCCAGATGAGCAAAAGGGCTGGTTTTGCTCTCTTACCACGCATGGGTCCACCACGGTCGCACTATTCATGTCCGTCAAGGACGTTTTCTATTCATGTCGGTCAAGGACCTTTTCCTTTTGCCTTCACAACTTGGCTCATTGGAGCAATGACCCTAAAACACGGCCTACCTCAGCTTGTGGTTAAGTTTTCTTCTTTAAGTTTATCCATGTCTCTGGCGACACCGAATATTTCCTTTCCCTTGTCAGAAAACATTTATAGGAGTGTAAACTGGCCTAATTTCAATATAGTTGTGTTTCAAGGAATAAGAAATCTGAGGGGGATATCGAGAGAGGAGGGAGAGAGAGAGGGAAAGGGAGAGGGAGAAGAGGAGATAGAGGGAGAGGGAGAGAGGAGAGAGGGACAGAGAGGAGAGAGGAGAGGCGAGAGGAGAATTACATGGAGGGGAGTGCGAATAAAGTCACAGGCCTCCATCACTGAGAAAAGTCCAGAGGAAGGGGCCGCGCTGGAGGATGTGCGCTGCTTTTCCTCCCCTACTTCATCGGTTCAGAAGCAGAAGTCAGAAAAGGGCTCCCTGAGGAGTGTCCGTAGTGCCCGTGTGCCAGCACATGGCCTCCCCTGGCCCTGAGGAGTGCCTGTAGTGCAGTGTGCCAGCACATGGCCTCCCCTGGCCCTGAGGAGTGCCCGTAGTGCCCGTGTGCCAGCACATGGCCACCCCTGGCTTTCCGCGATGCCCTTGCGGGGTGCAGTCTATGCCCTACATACTCCACGCAGATGAGAGACCCTTCTACATGTCCCCCTGTGCCTTGGGTGCTGTGTCCGTACCCCACACCAGCACGTCAGGTTAGTAGGATCTGCAACATGGGAGGAACCTTAGTAGCTCTTCTAACCTGGTGTCTTTGGCTCTATAAGATGGTTCAGCCCCTATATGAACTCATAGTTCAAGAAATGGTTGGTCCATGACTCAGAGAAGGAAGGAATGCAAAAGAGTATGTAGCTACTGCCAAATGGTGAGGGAGAATTAACCTGGTACTTATTTTTTTGGGGGGGTCTGGTCGTGGGGCCTGAACTCTGGGCCTGGGCGCTGTCCCTCAGCTCTTCAGCTCAAGGCTAGCGCTCTACCACTTGAGCCACAGTGCCACCTTCAGCTTTTTTCTTTTTGCTTATGTGGTGCTGAGGAATCGAACCCAGGGCCTCAGGCATGCAAGGCAAGCGCTCTACCACTGAGCCACCTTCCCTGCCCCGACCTGGCACTTATTTATACCCGTGTAGAGCAACTAGAAGCCCTCACCAGAGCAGAACCATTACAAAGGCTGATCCTGCCTGACTGGGTTACCTGCAACCACTCACACTTCTGGTTGCCCTTGCTGAGCTTAGTTGTTCTCCCTCAGTAGTTAGCTGGTAATGTTTCCCCTGGTTTCACCAGCAGGGCTGTAAGTATCACGGGTTGCCCAAGAGAAGGCAGCTAATTGGCCACAACCCTGCCCACAACTTCCTTAGGACTGATGCTGGGCCCTGGCTCACTAGGGAGAGGCAGGCCTCGTTGCTCTGGGATTTCAGTCGTGTCCTCCTTGTCAACAATGAGGTCTTGGTAAGTGTCACCATTCAGCCACAAGATGGAACTCAGGTGTGAGCAGGGTGGTCAGATCAGCTGCCTTCTCCATAGCGGTGTCCTCTCATGGAGGACACAGCGTAGATGCACACTTAATCTACTCATGTGGATTCAAGTAACGCAGGCTTACAGAAAACTGCACGTGGGGCTGGGAAGGTGGCTCAGTGGTAGAGCGCTTGCCTTGCATGCCTGACACCCTGGGTTCGATTCCTCAGCACCACATAAGCAAAAAAGAAAAAAAGCCGGAAGTGGCGCTGTGGCTCAAGTGGTAGAGCACTGGCCTTGAGCTGAAGAGCTGAGGGACAGCACCCAGGCCCAGAGTTCAGTCCCCACGACCGGACCCCAAAAAAAAAAAAAAAAGAAAACTGCACTTTCCCATTTCAGCATGAAGGGTAATGAAGAAGTGTCCATGTTTGGAAAGGTATGTGCCCCTGGCTCACAGGAACAGTAAGAGAACTCTCAAAGGAAGATTCTCCTGGCCCTCAATACTCACATTTCACCCTCAGCGATTCATTAATCTTGATCCATTGGTTGGACTCAAGGATGCATCCTAAATGGGGGTGGGGGAAACGGCAGAGTTGACAGTGAGTAATGACACTGGGGCAAAGGGGAGATGTTCATTGATATTTATATACAGCCTGCCTGAGGATAAACACGAGAAAACGGAGACATAAAGCAAGAGCTTCCCAAACTGACATGGCCACAGACGATTAAATGATTATAGATCACTCAGTGTTATACTGGGAGCAACATCATTGTTTCCACGCTTTACAAAAAGAAAAGGAAACGAAGGACATATTTAATTGATTGCAAGCTAGATTCCAACTTCAGAAATGTCAAAAGGTGAAGAACATGATGCCTGTCTTAAAACTGATGAACTGTGGTACTAAAAGTCAGACTAAGCACGTCCTGCCCTACTGGAAATGGTGGTTCTCACAGTAGTCAGATAGTTTGTTTCCAAGCAGTATATCCTAATCTTAATCTATCAGTTGAACAATATCTTCCAAGGAATAAAGAAATGTTGGCAATTATAGCTTTTATCTTAAAAGACAGATGGCCAGGCTAAAAGTGTTTTGTAAGATCTGTCAATTCATGGGTACGACATGCAAAGGAATGTCGTGTGCTAGAAGGAGCCTTCAACACATAGACTGGAAAGGGATTTGAGGACAAATGTTTCCCCATTATCCCACTCATTATTCTGGGCCTAATATTCCTTTCCTGTAAAATGAGTGGGTTGGACTAGAATCTAGTTTCTGACTCAACTCTCATGTGGTGGCTCTCATTTCTTCGAAATCTGTGATTTGCAAATCTTATAAATCCCATTGGTTATCATCTTAACCCAAAGTCAAATGGAAAGTTAGTCTACATGCAATGTTCTCTCAAAGAGTATATTCTGTTTAACTTGCTAGCTATGTCCTTTGCCGTGCAGAAACTCTTCCATTTGATGCAATCCCATTTATCTAGTCTTTCTTTGATGTGTTGTGATTCTGGATCTTTACTTAGGAAGTTTAGACCTGTGCCCCAGAACCCTAGTGTTTCTCCTATGCCTTCCTGTAATATGTTCATGGTATCAGACCTTACACTGAGGTCTTTGAACCATTTGGGATTGATTCTGGTGCAGGGTGACATATAAGGATCTAGCTTCAGTTTTCAGCGTGTGTATAGCCAATTCTGCCAGTACTATTTGTTGAAGGGGCTCTTTCTTCCAACCTGTGCTCTTGGCTCCCTTATCAAATATTAGGTGGCTGTGGGCCCGTGGGTTAATTTCTGAGTCTTCTGTTTGATTCCATTGGTCCTTAGACCTATTCTTGTGCCAATATCACGCTTATTTTTTTTTATTATTATGGCTTTGTAATAGTTTGAAAGTTAGTATTGATATTCCTTCAACATTTTACTTCCTGCTAAGGATTGTTTTTGCTCTTCAGGGTCTTCTATTATTCCATATGAATTTTTAGCTTGCTTTCTCTATATCATTGCAGAATGTTGTTGGGATTTTGTTGATGAGTATTGCACTGAATCTGTAGATAGCTCTGGACAAGTTTCACAATGTTAATCCTTCCAAGCCAGGAGCATGGAGTCTTTTTTCCCCATTTCTTTAAATGTGTTTTAATTTCTTCTTTCAGATTTTTAAAATTTTCATAATAGAGGTCCTTCACATCTTTGGTGAAGTTAATTTCTAGGTATTGTACTTTTTTTTGAGGCTATTACAAATGGAGTTACTTTCCTGACTTCAATCTCCATCTTCTCATTGTTGGCATACAGAAAAGCTACTGCTTCTTGTGGGTTAATTTTATACCCTGCTACTTTGCCAAAGTTTCAAATCAGCTCAAATAACTTGGGGGAGGAATCTATAGGGTTCTTCAAATGCGGGATCATATCATCTGCAAAAAAAGGGTAGCTTTACTCCTATTTGGAGAAAGACCACAGAATGGGAGAAAATCTTTACTAGCTATGTATCAGACAAGGGCTTCATATCTAAAATATAGAAATCAAAAAAATTAAACCTCCCATAAACAAGCCCTCAAAGAAACAACAACTCAGTTAATAAATGGGCTAAAGACTTAAAGAGAGACTTCTCAGGAGCAGAAGTAAGAATGGCCAATAGACACATGAAGAAATGTTCAACATCTCTGGACATAAAAGAAATGAAAATCAAAACAACATTGAGATTTCACCTCACTCCAGTTAGAATGGCCATTATAGAGAAAACTAACAATAGTAGATACTAGTTGGGAATGTGGCCAAAGGGAATGCTACTACACTGTTGTTTGGAATGTAAACTTGTTCAACCACTCTGGAAAGCAGTATAGAGGTTCCTCAAAAAACTAAACACGCTAGGCGCTGGTGATTCACACTGTAATCTTAACTACTCCAAAGGCTGAGATCTGAGGATCATGGTTCAAAGCTAGCCCGGGCAGGAAACTCTGTGAGACTCTTATTTCTAATAAACCACTAGAAAACCAGAAGTGGTGCTGTGGCTCAAGTGGTAGAGCACTTGCCTTGAGCTGAAGAACACAGGGACAGCACCCAAGCCCAGCATCCAAGCCCCATGACCGACAAAAAAAAACAACAACTAAACACAAAGCTCCCCTATGACCCAGTAATTCCACTCCTGAGCATTCATCCAATAGAACACAAACAATGCCACCATAAAGCTAACAGTATTACCATGTTCATTGAAACATTGTTTACAAGAGTCAAAATATGGAATCAACTTAGATGCCACTTCAGTGGATGAATGGATCAAAAAGATGTGGTATATATATGCAATGGAATTCTATGCCTCCACCAGAAAGAATGACACTACCTCATTTGTAAGGAAATGGAAGGACTTGGAAATAATCATAGTAAGTGAAGTAAGCCAAACCCAAAGAAACATTGGTTGCATGTTTTCCTTCATTTGTGGTAATTAGAATGTGCCTATAAATCTACAAGTAAACACAATGGATGGTAAAAGACCAAAAATTACACTTGGACATGATAAACAGGACTCTAAACATTCACACAGTGAAGCCAAAGCAAGATATTCTTAGGAGAAGATCACAAAGGCTCAAGAGCTATGTGCATATGATCATATAAAATGATGTTTATTGAAATGAACTCCACGAAATGGAAATGAGGTATTTTCGTTATTTTACTTTTTGCTTGTTCTTTTCTCCTTGGTTGCTGTTTTTTTATTTCTGTATCTTTTGTCATGCATGTAAGTTTATCTGTTTGGGAAATGGTAAGGAGATCACAGAAATGGTGGGACAAAGGGTGAACAAATACAGCTTGAACTATACAACTTGTGGGGGAGAAGAGTCAGGAGGGAAAAAACCGGGAGAAAATGAGTGAAGAAGTGACACCCTTCAAAAAGACGTGTACTCGTGACCTGACCTACCTGACTGCAACCCCTCTGCTCACCACCTTTACAATAAAAACAAATAATTTTTTCAAAACAAGAATACATTCTGATCTTCTGCATAGGCAGAATACTTCAACTTGATAAAACAAAGAACTAAGTGAGCCTGGAATGTCTTGTTGGTTCTATTTGCTCACAAATCCTGGGTCCTGAACTGCTTTGGTTAAGTCTGTATAACTAGAACTCCAGTGGGGGTAGTGGATGGGGGGGGGGGAAGGACTCACCTCTGCTGCCCTGGATCTCCTCCTCAGTGAAGCCATCCTCAACCTCAAAGCATCTCTTATCTGGAAAGCAAGGACAGTGAGAATGCTTCAAAGATGTCAGAGAAACAACAGGATTCCCAAGCTTCAGACTCGACTCCTGAAACTCTGAGACCAGCAACCTCAGCCACACCAACATCAGACAGCATCACTCATTTAAATTTAAAAAAAAAACTTTATCAGTGTTGAGTATAGAGTATTTTTTGATGAGCAGTGTTTTTGAATAAACCCTTGGGATGAATGCTGAGCTTAGTTCTCACTCCCTTTAGAACCCATCTGCCATGTCATCCTGGTTTTATTCATTCATTGACAGCACTCATACACAGCCTCCTTCCAACTCCATGAGACACACGAGAGAATCTTGTTCTCTCTGCCAGCCTGAAGGCTGGTATCTACATCCTCCTGACAACCGGGCTCCCCGCCATCACACTTCAGCCAAGACAACCTCAGCCCTGCTTCCCTCAGCCACGTGGGAAATGGCTGCCATGATGCGTATTACCTTGTGGTCCATAATGGTTCCGAACAGCAGGATGAAGAAGCCCTGTGGGGAAGCGCAACAGAACCGTGAGGAGCTGCTTCTCAGACAGCACCCCAGCCACTGTTTCCACCCTGTTCCTCCCGTTAGCCTTGGGGACAGCATGTGTGCAACAGCACTATGATTCCACGAATGTGGATGGGTCTTTCCGTGGAGTCTCCCTCTTCCCCTGGGTGAGGACCACCTTGGGGGGGCTGAGCCTGTGGGTGGTTGGTGTTTGTGAAATACATGACAACAGACATCAGGTCTTTGATCTGGCAAAATCTTACACTTCCTTTCTAAATATTTACATAGCTATTCTGCCTGGGATCATCGATACATGTGGTGTGGAACCTGGATACTGACAAATCACCATCATGGAATTTGTCTTAGGAAAAGGAACCTCATGTTCTAGTCTATACAGGTGTACTTGACACTCTCTAAATGGGAAGCTCTAGGGTCTTCTATGGTAGGGGAACTTTCTTCATAAAAGACAAGGAAATCTACAAAGATCTGGGAGGTCAAGAGTATCTCCACATGACCTAAGGAGAGTTTCAGGGGGAAGAAGCATTGATCAGGTAGCCAGAAATAAATCTATTTTAACATACAGGTCTGAGAAAAGAGATTTCTATGTAACTGAGAGTGTTTTGGCCTTTGTCTTCCTATCAAGAAAAGAGAAACACAAATTCTCTGAAAAAGAAATACACAACAAAAATTCTAGCAGCTGAATTAAGTTGCAAAGTAAGAGGGGGAAAAAGATGAGATTATTATTAGTCACTACAGCATCTTCAAGAGTAGGGAATTTATGTGAATCCAAGAGCTTTTGATTTTAAAATAAACAGAAGCACAAAAAAAGAAACAAAAAGAAAGGTTTAAACCAAGGTTTTCTCTTTGCAATAATGCAACAGGGAAAGTAAAATCAATGTGCTCTAGAAATATCAAAGAGTGATGAGCAAACAGTCAAACATGGCCAATTATTATTACTCAGGGGGGATCATGATCTATAAATGTTTGGACCTGGTCTTTTTTAAGTATATTATTTATTATTTAAAAAATAATTCATTGTTCTTATTAAGGTGTTGTAAAGAGGAGCTATCATTTCATAATTCAGATAATGGCTATAGTTTTTTGGACAATGTCACCCCTCTCTACTTTCTCCAAGTTTTCCCCTCCTATCCCTGCCCACAAGTTGCATAGGTCGTAGTCCGCATAGTGTACACTGAACAGCCTGATTTCATTTGTTCCCCCCCTTTTCTCCCTTCCTTTCTGCACCCTTTCTCACCCTCCCTGAAAGAAAAAAAAGACCCAAAGCAAAAACAAACATCATCACTACCACCAGTCTGTAACACCTTCGTAGCAATGCCTTTGCTGCTTTGTTTAAGTAGTTATGAGACTTAGGCTTTTTCCACAAGGTACAGGTAGTGAATGTTCTAGACTTTGCAGGACCTACACTTCTGTAACTATTGAAATATGTCTTTGTTGCTCAAAGGCAATCAAAGAGAAAGGGTCAAGAAAGGAGCAGGAGTGTGTTCCAGAAAAGCCCTATTTACAAAAATCAGTTGGCAGGCTGTAGTTTGCCAACTGCCAATTAAAAGCATAATTAAGGCTACAGTCTTGCCAAATTTTCTATTACTCAGAGATCCAGAAAACAGTCTGGCTAGTGATAGCCAAAAGGTGCAGGCTTAGGAGCAGGAGGGAGTAAAACCACTTTGACACAACTTTGCGACGGTCTTCTCAATCCTTGTGTGAAAAGACAATAGAATCCATTCTAGATCCTTATTTCTACTTTGCAGATCAAAAGTTAGTTTCCCAAGACCCCAGGCCTACAGCAAGGTCTACTGCCATAACTAACAACTTACATCACTTACTGTGCAGGGAATCGCAATGTATGAAAACTCCTGATTGATTGACATCCCATGGTCAAGGACTATTATTGTTCATTCTATTGGAGAATGGCTATTCCCCTAGGGTTCCCAAGCTAGAGAAAGGATAAAGTTGTGCTTGTTTGGAGCCACAATGGCAGTGTAGCTTCACAGATGCCTGATCCAAGAATAGTCCTTACTAAGAGAAGGTCAATTCCGACATTGAACCTTTAGGAAGGACACAGGTGGATCACCAGGGAAGAGAAAAGGAAGGAAATTTGCAGGCATCTGCACTGATCTGCTAATTCCAATGTGGCCATCCACAGACTGAGAGATGTTTCAGTCAAATATACACATGATCACGTCAAATGATGATCATGTCAAATGATGCCGATCAACAGGAACTCCGGGAAGCGGACACAAGAGGGGTTTTTATTATTATTGTACTGTTTGTGGCTCTTTCCTTCCTTCCTTTCTCTTTCTTTCTTTGTTTCTTTCTTCCTTTCTTTCTTTTCCTCTCTAGTTTATTCCCTTTTGCTGCTGTTTTTTTTTTTTTTTATCTCTGTTCTCTTCGTCTTGTAAATAAGTTTATCTAATCTGGGGAAAGAAAGGGGAAGCACAGAAATGACGGGACAAGGGGTGACCCCGTTCAGCAGTGACACCCACTAGACACTGTGGGAAAGGAGCTGTACAACTAGGAGGGGAGGGGGGAGGGGGAGAGAATGAGGGAGGGGTGACTGTCCAAAGAGGAAAGTTTAAAAAACTGTACTCATTACCTGGCTCATGTAACTGTAGCCCCTCTGTAATCACCTTTACTAGAATGTTTTAAAATAACAATAAAGGTGGGGGTTGGGAATGTTCAGTGGTAGATGGCTGCCTTGCACGCCTGGAGCCCTGGGTTTGGTTCCTCCGAACCACATAAACCAGAAAGAAGCGGAAAGTGGAGCTGTGGCTCAGTGGTAGAGCGCTGGCCTTGAGCACAAAATCTCAGGGACAGTGCCCAGGCCCTGAGTTCAAGCCCCAGGACCAACAGAAGAAGGAAGAGGAGAAGGAGGAGGGAAAGGAGAAGGAAGGGGAGGGGGAAGAGGAAGAGGAGTAGAGGAGGAGGAAAAGGAGAGGGGGAGAAGGAGAAGGACAAGGTGGGGGAGGGAGGAGGAGGAGAGGAAGAGGGGGAGGGGAGAAGGAAGAAGAGGAGGGGGAGGAGGAGGAGGAGAGGAGGAGGAGGAGGAGAGGAGGAAGAGGGGGAGGAGGAGGAAGGAGAGGGGGAGGAGGGGGAGGAAAGGGAGGGGGAGGAAGGAGAGGGGGAGGAGGGGGAGGAAGGAGAGGGGGAGGAGTGGGAGGAGAGGAGGAAGAAGAGAGGAGGAGGAGGAGGAGAGAAGGGGGAGGGGGAGGAGGAGGAAGGAGAGGGGAAGGAGGGGGAGGAAAGGGAGGGGGAGGAGGAGGAGAGGGAGGAGGAGGAGAGGGAGGGGGAGGGGGAGGGGGAGGAGAGGGAGGGGGAGGAGGAGGAGGAGCCCGGAAGGCCAAGCCGCTGCGCCCAGTCCTCCCCCGCCGGGCTGAGGCCGGGCAGGGCCGCAGCAGGCCCGGGGTCCTCCGGACGTACCTGCAGAGCGTTGAGCAGGGCGAAGATGCCGTGGAAGGCCAGGGGCGCGCCCTCCACCAGCGTGGCCACGCCGAAGCCCCAGGTGAGGCCCAGCAGCGGGGGTGAGCACGGCCACGGTCTTGCCGACGCGCAGCACGGCGGCCGCGGGCCGGGCCTTGGCGCCGCCGCGCGAGGGCCTGTGCGCGGCCACGGCCACGGCCAGCACCACGGCGAGGTTCACGGCCACCACGGCCAGCGCGGGCAGCGCGAAGGCCAGCAGGGCCTTGGTGCGGTCCCAGGCGAGCCAGCAGGCGTCGCACCGGAGGTAGCCGCCCTGGGGCTGCGTGACGGCCACGGTGGTCAGCGCGATCACCAGCGGGCAGCCGTAGCCCACGGCGAAGCCCGCGGCCAGCATGCGCGCCTTGAGCAGCCGCTGGAAGACCACCAGGACGCCGTAGACGATGAGCAGCGCCTTGAAGAGCATCCAGAAGAAGGCGGAGAGGTAGGAGAGGTGGCTGAAGAAGGCCACGGCCACGCACCACGCGCGGCTCTGGATGCGGGCGTGCGCGCCCACCAGGAACCACAGGTCGGCCGCCAGCAGCGAGGCGGCGATGTTCACGATGCACACGTGCCGCAGGTACGAGATCTCCGTGGCCGCCACCTGCGACCAGGCCAGGGCCTCGGCCAGCAGGCAGAGTGCCAGGCTGAGCACCGACACGCCGAGCGCCGCGCCCGTCAGGTACCCCAGCGCCGTCTCCGTCCGCGTCGCGGGGGACATGAGGATGGAGAAGGACGTCACGGCCTGCGAGCGGCGGCAGCAGCAGCCGACCTGGCCGCGCAGGTCCCACACGGTGCGGCACGCGTGCGGGTCCCACGCCCTGCGGGACGCGTGCCAGCCCACGCACCGGGCCGGGCCGTCGGGCGAGCCGCCGCCCTTCTCGAAGGTGAGCAGCACCTCCTGCAGCCTCTCGGGCAGCACCACGGACAGCACCGTCCCGGCCGCGCCGCGCTCCGGGCCGCCCAGCACCGCGCCCAGCGTGGGGAAGGCCACGCCCACGGCCCGGGCCGGCCCGGGGGGCAGGCCCCGCAGCTCCCCGCGCGGGATGTCTATCCGCCCCAGGAGGCCGCCCCCCGCCGTCCGGTTGGCGCCCCAGGAGAAGGTCAGGCTCGGGTGGGAGGCGTTGCGGAGCAGGCGAGCGCCCCGGGTCTGCATGAAGAGCGGCCCCGCCGCGCGCTCCGCCCCGCCGGCCTCCGGGCGGAGCCGCCCCGCGAACTGGCCGGCCGCCGCCAGCAGGTCCGAGCTGGCGTTGCGGTCCGGGACGAAGGACCAGTTGGAAAGGGCGGCGGGCTGCAGGACGTGGCTGGCCAGCGCGCTGTAGCTCTGCAACGGAGGAGAGACGTGCGCGGCTGAGAGCCGAGCCCCGCGCGTCCGGCAGACACGACAGGGTCCCCTCGCCCAGGGTCCCCTCGCCCAGGGTCCCCTCGCCCAGGGTCCCCTCGCCCAGGGTCCCTGCGCCACCCTACTAGACGGCAAGACCGTGAGATGCGTAACGGCCTCTTGTACTTCGTAGACCTATCGCCACATCCCCCAGGTATTAGAATCTGACATTAGTAAGACTACACAGAGGGAAGGAATGTATGAGATGGATGGATGGGTGGATAGATACGTAGACAGACAGATACACAGATAGATACATAGATGGATGGATAGATAGATACATACATATATGGATGGATAGATGTAGAGATGGATGATAGATACACAGATGCATAGATACATAGATGATATATATTTAGATGAATGCATGGATAGATAGATACAAACAAAATACATAGATACATAGATAGATATACAGATAACTTGGTAGGTGATATAATACAGATGATATAATATAGAGTATGTGTGCCTGTGTATAATATGTTAAGATAATGCAATATGCTATTGGTATCCATGAGTATCCAAGGTGACTTCATCTGAGGAAAAACCATCCATGATGACAATGTGAAGAATTCAGTGCCGTAGTGCAAAAGTTTGAGTCCTTTCCCACTAAAGACCTGCCACCATCCAACCAATCTAAAGTCCTCACTTTATCGAAGTGAGCACAGTAACGTTTATCTCGGGATTTGGAGGACCATTTGCTATTGGGGAAGCAGATTTTCACAAAATTAAGGGCAAGGATTTTATGGAGACAGTCGGTGATGAGACAGAGCTGACTCAGGGCCTTTGCATCAACTGAACTTTGAGGCACATGTTCTGGAATTTAAATTTATTTTTTGGTTATTGAATTTGGGGGGGGGGCCATGCTTGGTCAACATTGTATGTAAGAAATACACAAATAAAGTTGGATTGCTGTATATATATATATGTGATACAGACACATCCATACATCTATATATTATTTATACATATATACATACACCATATATACAGATTCAGATACAGATATATCTGAATGTATGCATCGCACCTAAGATTTGTTTACCTGCTTTATGATTGTCTCCAAGGTAGCATTTCCAAATTACAGGTTAGAGAACCCGTTTCCCACTTGGCTGTGTCATCAAGGGGCAGGGCAGCAGATCTATGTCAATCTAAGCTTGAGAAATACTGCATACCTAATCCCTCTCTCCTCCCTTGATAGCACATTGAAGACTCTGGAGAGTCCTGACGTGAGGATGCTCGCTAACTTCATTTAACCAGAGCTACCCATGTCCCCTGTGCTGCAGGTCTGCTTGAAACCCGGCCTGTCTGTGCCCATTTCTCTGTGCAGCTGGGTTCCACAGAACGCTCTTTTGAAAACACTAGAATGGAGTCAAGTCTAAGGCTCCTGCTTATCATTACGCATTTTTCAAAAATCCTCTCACCTCTTGAATTCTTCCGTGAAATAGAAAGAACACAGGTGCAGCGCTGAGTGGAATGTCTGCGGTTGTTGCTGTGGAATTGTTGCACATTTTGAACCCCTCAAGTATAATGTTTAAAGAAAAAGGAAATGGGTTTAATGAAACTAAGGACAAGTACCTGCATCTTCTCCTGAGTGACATCCTCAGACAAGTGAGCAGAGATGTTTTTCAGTAACTCCACTACGAAGGCAATATTTCCCGACGTGGCCTCGGACGACCTCACAGCCTGGACGATGCAAGAATAATCCAGGGGGCAGTGCTGCAGGATTCCCTGCACGACGTTCTCAATGGGCTGTGGAGCTCGGAAGCCAAGAATGTGTAGAGGAATAGATGATGAGGCCAAGGAAAGCTGTGACGCTCCACTCGAGTCCTGTTGTTTGAAAATAAAATAAAACTAAAGTTGCTGGCAATTTAAAAAAATGACAGTGTACCTAACACGTGTCAGACTGAGAAAACCAAAGGCACGGAGAAGGCACACGGAGAAGACAGGTAGAGACAGACGCGGTCCTGAGGGAAGCTGGGTGCTGAGAAGTAAAGGCAAGGCGAGATCACAGAGAGAAGATAGAAGAAATGGTTGCTAAATGGAAGGATGTAACAGCAGGTGCTTTAGCTGAGATACGTTGCATTTACTGATTTCTTTAAAATTCCCTTCAGATCACATATTTCTCCTTTCTTCTGGTCAAAGTATTGAAAGCACTAGGAAAAATATCAACTATAATTTAACTTGAGCTGGATGGATTAGTGACTAGTGTGAGAAGCATACGTATTTACCTTTAAAAGTGACAGTTAAGTCCCTCCCCCACGGTATAACCCCTGCTTTCACTGTTTGGTGTCGGTATAATTTGTGGAGGGGAAGGGAAAAAACAAATCGTTTAAGTAGGGATACAGGTGGACCCATTGCAACAATGAGATGTACAAGTCGTTATGTTGAAAAACGAACTTTACAACTTTGGTGTGGGGGTGCAGGGGGGGAGGAGGAGGGTGGAGGATTGGGTGGGGGTGGGGGGGGAGGATGGGAAGGGATGGGAAAGGGAAACAAAGGAGGAGGCTACAATGCTTGATAAGAAATGTACTCACTATCTTGCCCATGTAATTGTAACCCCTCTGTACAGTATTTTCACAAAAAAAAAAAAGTGACAGTTAAGTTGGGCACCAGCAGCTCATGTTTGTAATCGTAACTACTTGGAAAGCTAAGAATGGGAAGATTGACATTTGAGGGCATCTGGGCTGAAGACTTCACAAGACTCCCTTCTAAACACATAGCTAGGTTGGGCAAAATGGTACACCTGGCATCCCAGTTACACTGAAGTTTAAATTGGGAGTGTCACAGTTCTAAAGTTTATAAGACTCCCTCTCAACAGAGAAAAGGCGGGTGCAGTAGACCCCACCTGTCACCCCAGGAACAACAGGGAAAATAAAATAAGTGAATAAAGTCCAAGCACGAACTCAGGCAGGAGGTGAAATCCTGTATCAAAAAAAAGAACTAGCAAAAATAGGGTAGGGGGCATGACTCAATGATAGAAAACTGTCTAGCAGGCGTGAGGCCCTGAGTTCAAATTTTAGCACACACACACACACACACACACAGCTAAAATTTAACCTCTAATGACCAAACAATAGCATAAAGAAGTTTCGAGTCCCCTTCCCTTTAGGAAAGACACCAGAAGAAAAGAAGTGGAAGGAGTTGGGAGGGAAGAATCTGCAAAGAAAAGATGGCTGGATGAAAGACATATTTGGCCCAGTCTAGATTTTCTCAAGTCCTCCCTAAGACATAGTGTCATGCAGAATGGATCCGATTAGAAGTGTCCCCACTGATCCTAGGTGATTAGCTCATCTCCCCAATGCATCCTCACCTTAAAAAGTGCTTCCACTGATAGGCTGGTGCACGTCTCGGTGGATTTTTGCCACGTGTTTTGATGACACGTGAACCCCACTTGTCCTCGGAAGTGTTTAGCACAGGGCTCACTGCAGGTGGAAGAGGAGACACAGGACCCGTGGCATCCCTCTGAAAGAAAAACACAAAACCAAGTGAGACACACAACTAGGATGTCCACAGTCTAACAGGAGCATCTGATTCATTCTGGAGGGATATCTTTTTGGGGGGACGGTTCCCCAGAGGTTTGACAGTAACATGAAACTGTCTCTACTGCAAAACTTAAAGCTCATAGGTGGATGGTGAAGCCGGAGGCCAGGCCCAGTGAGCGCATGTAGAAAAGGAAATTGGCAGAGCATTCGGACAGGCCTAAAGCAGGGAACAGTAAGAGAGGAAAAGAAGGAAGGTTCAGGTTGTAAAGACATAGCATGGGAGTTACCAGAAAATTCTGATGAGATTCGTTATTGACAATAGCATAGAATAGGAACCAGGAAGCTTTCCTGCAGAAAACTGGGTGAAGGGAGTTATTGATAAAATATAGGAGGCCCGTTTCAAATACTAATTTTCTTTTCAGATATGGTCAATTATTATTATTCACAAGAGTTATTTTCCAAATAGTCATCATGAACCCTGAATTAGCAAATACTGAACCAATGTGACAATATCAGGCTACATACTATAACATTTTCATCAAGTAGTCAATTCCTGGGTGATTTCATGTGTGCTTCTGTGTGAGAGCACTTTATTTAATATACATGATCAATTCTGCTCATGGGCAGAGCTCTTGCATAGATAAGAAAGGTTTATTTCCACCACTATCTTCTCCAGGAAGCGCATCACAGCCTTCTTTGGCTTAAAAAACACTGGACAGGACTATTGTGCCCTGTGGTCAGGGATCATTTAAGCCAGAAAAATCACCATCCATATGCACAGGGACAAAAAATCGTGACGCTACATTGACTGGGAGATGACAGCATTGCTGTATGAGAAAGAAGTCGGGTATCTCACTGTCCAAGCTCAAGGGGAAACTTGCGCATCTGGCAATTCAACTGCTCTCTGCTCTCTGCCTGTCTATGAATGACCCCCAAACCCTGAGGACTGATGCATGCTTTACTAACCAATTTCAATAGCAGGCAAATCTGGAAATACAGAATCCGAAGATCAAGAGGATGGATTGTAAACTTCAGCTCAGTAATACATAATGTATTCGTGTCTACATGACCCATGAAGTTCTACTCCTTGTTTATCTGAAATCTAAATTTAGTTAGGTATCCTATCTATTTTTTTAAATTTGTTTGGAATGGCAACTCAAACTGGAGAGTAAAGAGCTGAGGCACTGCAGCTGTTCATGGAGCGCTGTAGAACCTACTCAGTTGTGCCATTCTTACTGTGAAAGCAGCCAAAGACAGTATGCAAATGAGTGGGAATAGCCATGGGCCACACCAGTGGCACCTGAAATTTGATCCATGGGACAGAATGGGTTAGCACGAGACAAAACACAGGGTCTATGAATATGTCCACTGAAGCGATCCTAAGAGAGTTGCCATATCACTGTGACAGTGAAATTAGAAAGAAGCAGATGATGCTGAGAGCTATAAAGTCATGGAACTCTATCACTGTATGGCTGACAGGCTGAAAGCCCAGAGGTGTGGCCATGTTTATTACCTGGGCAGCTTTGCACAGTGACTCTATTCCCTGGAAAAGGAATCCAGCGGGTTCACTCATTTCCTTGATGTCCACCAAGTATACCTATTATTTGCTGCAAATTAGCTCTTAATCTCTTCATTTAGCCGGAGATGATGACACAGTATGTTCCAAGCCTTACACAACCTAAATGTTTGTGTGCTCATATTCATCATCATGCATAACATGTAGATCCAGGTGATTATGCATGCCTCACTAACTAGTGGCTACCTTTCTCTCCTCTGCTTCTCCAGTGCCATATTTACATAGGGATGTGTTTGCCATCCAAAGTATACCTGACTGTGGCCGTGCAGAATCTGGTTACTCCTGCTGTTACATAATCTCCGTAAATTACTCCTAAGGATCTCCTCCTTCTTTTACTTCCTATTTCTGTAGAGTAACGAGTCTCACCATTTTATTCATCTCACTCTGCTTTAACAGACATCATGCACAGGTGTCCCATACATTTAAGCTGAGAATACTTTTGAAGGAAGAAGGAAAGTTATCTTGCCCTTTTCCTGCCCTGAGAGCTCATTAATTTCACAGATGCTGACTACCATTCTAAGGCACATGCGAATATTCATGAGCTTGCTTCATTGGCCATGTGATTGATAAGGTGTCATTGTAAGAAAACCTATCAGGGCTAGCGATATGGAGAAGGTATCCACGTGTATTATTTTGTTGGTAAAACTCATGGTTCAGGGACATGCCTGTAACATCCACATCTTCCCTTTCTTCTTATCCTGTCTCCACATGGGAGCAAAGGGCCTAGGCCCACATACCTTGTGTTCTTCCAGGCTTAGCATTCCCAGGCCCTGGGGGACTTTGAAGTTTCTCTCCATCCTGAAAAATATAAATTCACAAGGGTCCTCTTTATTCAGGGACTCTCCTCTCTCTTCTCAACTTAAGAGGTGCCAGGTAAATGGGAAGGGGAAAATGTGTACAGGACTAGGAAGAAAACTATGGCAGATCTGTGGGATGGCATTGCAGAAACTCGTTGGAGGAACATGAATGAGAACACACTGTCCTCCAGGATGGAATCTTGGAGGTCACAAACTCTGAAGGTCAAGTTCATAGATTGGCACATCTTTTGTCAAGTTTTAAGTATCCAGGAAGAGCTCAGAGATGACAATTGTATTCCCACCTGTCTCTGCCTATACACTGGAAGATGAAAGGTAACTAATCTGTCTTCCCACCACTACCTAGAAAGGAAAAATGAGTAGATACCAGAAATATACATTGGATTGCAGTAATGGGATCATAAATCTCTACTTCTATTGTACTGTGTTATCTTTCAAAACAAGCCTCATATTATAGATAAGAAAAGTAAGTGTCAGAAAAGTGGAATGGCTTGTGTAATGAGTGAGAAGCAACATAAAGATCTGAATCTAAGTTGTTCTTCTGTGGGGCCTCTACCATCTCCTCTGCATCGGGGCCTGTCCATGATCGCTGTGGCTCACTTAGAGATGGGTCCACTGTACTGATGCTCTCTGGGAAAGTTCCGACCCCCTCTTCACGTTGCTTTTCTAAGTTTTCCTGCTCTAGAAAGCTATTATCAGTAAGGATAAAATGACAGGCAGTTGAAATTCCATTTAAAATCGGTGTGGTACTTTATCCAAATTCTAGACCACCAGAGGAACAGAGAGCTCTCCTTGGGAGATCTCATAGGGGTGGATCACACTTACTTTTCGGTGAATCTTGGATCTGGAATGGGAATGTTCTACGGCCAGAAGAAGCACCAAGCAGCAAAGTGAAGAGACCTGGGCCTTCATTTTTGCACATTAGGATTTTAACCTGTGACAGAGAAAGAAGGCAGAGTCAGCCCTAAGTGTTCACTTCACAATACCAGCAGAGCACCTACCTAGCTGGCTAAGCATCTGCTTCCAGAGGGTTCCTTTCTTTTCTTTTTTTGTTCTGTTTTTTTGGTCGGTTGTGGGCCTTGAATTCTGGGCCTGGGTGCTGTCCCTCAGCTCTTCAGCTCAAGGCTAGCACTCTTATCATTTGAACTACAGCGCCACTTCTGGTTTTCTGAGTGGATTATTGGAGATAAGAGCCTCATGGACTTTCCTGCCCAGCTGGCTTTGAATCTCCATCCTCAGATCTCAGCCTCCTGAGTAGCTAGAATTACAGGTGTGAGCCACCGGCGCCTGGCTCATCAACTGTTTTCTTAAACAGCAAAAATAATTCAAACATATCCTACAAAATTAAGGGGTGGGAGGAGTCCAGAATTTGAACCCAGTGGCCATGCTTGAGAGCCATGCATCCTCTTTACAATGACACCTCTAATCTATGGGGCTACTGACATTCAGGGCTGGTTGGTGTTTCATTGTTGGGGCTGTCCTGCGTATTGCAAGGTGCTTCGCGGCATCCCCAGCCTCTGCCTAATAGATATCAGTAGCATCCCCTCAGTCTGCAGGTGCAGTAGCCACAAGTATCTCCAGGGACACAGCCAAACGTGGCTGAAGGAGAACTACTGCCCTGCACTGTACTGCTGCTCTATGCATCTGGAGACAAGCGGCAAAGTGACCTGGGTGTGCACCATTTTCTGCTACTGGGGCATGCACTGAGACTTCCTCTCACTGATGAACAAACCAGCATGCAGATAAAGAGGAGGTGAAAGAGCTCAGTGTAAGAGCATTTACAAGGCAATTACAAGGCCCTGAGTTTGGTCCTCAGCTCTTTAAAAACAAAAGCTAAAAAAAATTACAGATTTTAGAGCCAGTAAGAGGTTGCATATTTGCACACTGATGTTCATTGCTATACTATTTGCCATAGTCAAGTTAGGGAGATAACCAAGATGCCCTACAATGGATTAGTAGATTAAGAAAACAGAGAGAGAGAGACAGAGACAGAGACAGAGACAGAGACAGAGACAGACAGACAGACAGACAGATAGATGTGATATGATATATAAGATAGACAGATATACAATGGAATCTTATTTATCCTTCAGGATGAATCGTATTGTGTATTTGCAAGGAAATGGATAGTCCTAAAAATAATTACAGACAAAGGGTGCATGTTTTCTCTCCTACATGGTAGTTAGATCCCAAATAAAAGTATATGTAAAAACAGGAAAAAAAGAGCTAGGTTATAATGCTATGTCTACTGTTTATAAATTATTATAAACTACTGTTTATAAACTACTAAGCCTGTTTTCTCTTGCATCTCATGAAGTACAGGCACTGATTCGATCTACCAACCATTTTTCAAGTGCCTCTTATTTGTCAGAAAGCGCACCAGATGTGAGCAGTAGAGAACGAGCAGTGTCCACTGGGAACACAGCCCAGCCTCGGCCCAGGTGAGAGGAGGGCTCACATGGGTGTGAGGCCTTGCTCTCACCAGTATAGACAGACACAGGTGATCCATCTCTATCCAGGGAGCAGCCACAGCCCACTGCTCTGCCATCAGGCCCTTCCTGGGTGGAACTGAGCCTGAAAGAGCTTTCCATAAGTCCAAGGGGCCTTGAGCTGAAAAGAGGAGCCACAGACCCCTATAGGGGAGCCTCCTGCTTGTCTTAGAGTTTCAAGTTTCCAGTGAGTAAACAGAGGAAGGACCGGCAATGTGTGTGGTGGTAGTGAGTTTGCAAAAATGTTCAGATGTGTGCATGGAATCAGTAGTCCTGTGGTGTAGGTGGAAAGTTCTTGTGAGCACGGTAAGTTAATGAAATACACTGTGAACAGTCTTAAGGCAGATCCTTACCTGATGGTGCGTTTAACACCCAGTACTTCTTAGGCCTCAGTAACAGAAGGTACTGAGGCACTCTCTGTGGCTTTCCTTTGCTGTACATGGAGTACTTTATACGGAACAGGGAGGAGGAAAACGGAGGGGGAGAGGAGGGGAGGGGAAGGGGAAGGGATGGACAGGGAGAGGAATGGGGAGGGGAGGAGAGGGAGACCTTACTACCCACATGAGTAGGTCTGCCGTCTCTTTCTACGCTGTCTCTACAATTTAAGACACTGCCGCCGCCACCCCACGTTCAGAGGCTCTGGTGTTCTTAAAGATCCTCTCCCAACTCTCCTGCCTTCCCTAGAAGTGAGCGTGTGAATGAGCAGGGGTTCAAAGCTGCAGTCAGCCTGCCTGGGTTTTGTTGATTTCTGCGCGTGTTGGATGGAATTCTCAGATGACTCACGCAGGGGAGGGGCACTCCCAACTCAGCTGAGCATGCTGGGCCAGAGCTGGCATTGGGACTCCCAGGAAAAAAACAAACAAGAAGAGGTGAGCCCAGAACTGCAAGTGCAGTCAATGCAGAAGGACTGCAGGGAATGCGGACTCTCACACTTCCCAATGTCAACGCCTTACAGTGACAGCCTGGGGATATTTGTCAGCAAAGGGAGCACTTTTAAAGAGTATGTTCTTCTCCACCGATCCACACCACAGGGTGAGAGGTAGCCCCCCCACCCCCCCCCCGCCCCGCCCGCCCTTCCCCGTGCTCTGTGAGCCATGCGGGCTGTGAGTCACTCACACATGCTTCTTGTCTTATGGGCATGACATCCTGAAAGGTGAACTGAGGGTTAAAGAAGGGCGAGGGACTTGAGAACAAGGTGATCCAGAGTTGTGTGTGTGCACGTGTGCAGGGGGCCCTCTAGGCTTCATTCCATCACCACACTCCACTCCAGTGGTGTAATGAGAACTCCGATTATAAGATCAGATGGCTAAATGAATTGTGGATGCGTTTACCACCCAGAACTTCTTAGGCCTCCATAATAGAAGGCATAATAGAAGTCGCTCTCTGCGGCTTTCCTTCGCTGTAGAGGGGGTACTTTAAATGGAACACAGAGGAGAAAAATAAATATTAGAGACTTTAGAAACATATTATCTCCTCTTTGGCTTGCAGCCAGCTCTTTGTAGCTCAGGATCTTTTCTGAGATGCCTCTCAGGATTCTAGTTGTGATAGGTCTCGACAGTCCCATGCTGACATGTCACCAGCTATCCTGACTCCTCTCAAATAGCAGTAAAAAATAAACTGATAAAGCCAGCAACTGTTCTGCCCCCCGAAGTACCAGAAAAGAGAAGGAAAACAACAACACCCAATGGGACTGCACTAGAGGTCCCACCAGGGTTCAAAGTCCAAGCGGCATAGCCATCCACACAGCACACACGCCAACCTCTCAAGACCAGAGCGCTGCCCTTGAAACGGAATTTGAGAATAACTGGAAGAAATCTTTTCTTCTGGTTTTTCATTTTATTGTTCTTAAGTAGTTGGTTCCACATGTCATTTTCTTAGCACAATGTCTTTGGATCATGTCACCTCTCCGTTATTCTACCCCATCTCCCCAACCCTACCCATGAACTCAGTGTACCTGGTTCCAAAGAAATGTTTTCTTATTCATCATTATAAAGACAGTTTCGTCAATATCACTAAAAGAGAATTTACTTTTAACTCTCGCTTTGCATTCAATTCCATCCAGAAGAAAGGAGTTTAATTTGCCAGGACAGAGGACAGAGCAAGGACAAAGTCTAACTGCGGGACAGGTTGTCTTGCATTTGCACTCCTAAGCGTGAGCGATTTAAGCCTGCATAGCAGATGAGCCCACGAAGAACAACAAATGGGAAGGAAACCAAAAAGAAAAATGATTTAGGAAATCCTCCAGCTTTGAGCTAGCCCATTTCTAAATGGTGAGAAGGATCTTGCAAAAAAATAAAAATAAAAATCAAGCATGGCCGACTATCCCATCATAAACCATACATTCCCCCCCCCCCCCCCCGCAACTAAGTACAGAAAGACTCCTCTCTTCCCGAAGCAAAGAGGCTGGTGTGGGCTACGCACTCACAGCGTCCAGCTAGTGTGGGCTAGGTACTCACGGTGTCCAGGAAGCAGATCTAGAAGCCCAGAGACATAGGGTCATCCAGCCGGGAGGTCAGTATGGAGAGCAGGCCCCACCACCCTGCCCACCATCACCGTGGCCACACTCACACCCCAGGCTCCCTTCAACGACCAGGACCCATCTCTAGAGCAGGGAGCTCAGGAGGACCCAGTGAGAACCAACTGGCTGTGGTAAGAAGCTACTCTGACAGCGCGGAAGCTGCCCCGGCTCTGAGACTTGTGTAAGAGTGTGATTCATCCCACCGTGGGCCTGTCAAGCCTGCCCAAGAGAAATTACAGGTTTCTCTTGTCTGAAGCAAATCTATTAAAGTGAGTCACTTGTTTGTCCTTTGATTCTTCATTTTTTATCTCGGACGATTGCATGAGACTGCGGGTTGCACCCGCGCCCACGTAATTAGGATAAGAGAGAGCAGATGCCACGGTGCGCCCCGATTGTGGATGATGGGTCCCAGAACTTACGATGGCCTTTTGCTAGTACCAGTGGTGAACTTGGAGAAAGCGAACTGAGAAACGGAGCAATGAATCATGATCTCATCACTAACTGGCCCCCTGAGGTATTCATGCCTGGAACATGCCAAAGAACCTTCCCGTGGGAGTGAGTAATGCCGACCCAGAAGGCACACTCTCTCCTGTGGGAAGCTACGTGACGTGACTTCAGCCAGTGCAGTCGGTGGGAATCATTCTGTTCACACACACACACACACACACACACACACACACACACACACAGAGTCCCACTCATCCTCATTCTGGTGCCTTCCATCCCCCAGGGTCTAATAAAAACACTCACTGGGATGTCACCAGGGGAAATGGTGAGGGGAAGGTGGATGAAGGAAGAGGGAGGCTGGTCACACAATTTTCAGCCAGGAGGGTCAACGTGTGTGGAAAATAGGTCAGTTCCATCTAGGTCACTAGTTAAGTACTGGGTCATTACAGATTTGGAAAAACCAGTCTTGAGTAGTTATGTAATCTTTTATTGAACTTATTTGCTGCACATAGTCTATGTACATGACACCTTATTCAGTCCCTATGAAGGTGCAAGTGTTAACTTGGTAAGTCCCAGAAGTAAGTAAACTTTTTTCCTAAAGGTTCACAACCCTAGCTAGGAAAGAAAAACAATACATACATACACACAGAAGACCAAAGGAAACAAGCAATGGCACACAATAAATACCGATGCAAAGTGAGTGGCCTTATTTGTAAATAAGAAATTTCTCAAGGGAATCGCACTTCTGGTTTGACCAGAAGGGAAGAGTTCCCAGACAGAAGGAGAAACAATGAAGCCAGCTTTGAAATGTGAGCCAAAAAAACGGAGCCTATGATGTATGTTCTTATAATTCCCAAGTAGGGATTCATACATCATGATGGATAAAGGTCCCATCCCACAGCGAAGGCATGGAACCAGCCCAGGAGCTCCACAACCCATGTCTGGATGAAGAAAATGTGGGATGTATGTACAGCAGAGTGTTCTCCAGCCACCAAGAATAAAACCATGTCATTTTCTGGGAAGTGGCTGGAACTGGGGATACCTTGTCAAGAAAGGGAGGTCAGGCTCAGAAAGACAAAGACTGCACGTTCCCTCCTGTGTACAATCGAGACCCAAAGAAGAAGACACCGTGATTGTGGAGGGGAAATAGTTTGAGGTGGGACCGGCAGCTTGAGTAGAGGGGAAAGAGAGAGGGCAATAAAAGTGTATGATATAGAACAAATCATGTAGATACCTGACAAGAGAAATAAATCATATGTCTACATGAAAACTGTCCATAATACAACCCATTAAAAACTCCTAAGAAGGAAAGGAAAAGAGAATGGAGCATAAGATAAAGTAATATAGAGAGGATGGATTTTACCAAAGTCCATTCTATGCATGTATGCACATATCAGAAGGAAATTCCTTTGTCCAATTAATTTACACTAATTAAAAAGAAATCAACAAAAACAAGGCTCATTCAACGGGAAGATCATCAGATTTTGCTGTTTGAGGACCCCGATGTCAAACAGACCAAATAAAACACTTAGTCCTTTTATTTGGAAGTAGATTAACTAACTGGCTGGCTGTGGTGATTGACACCTGTAATTCCAGCTTTTATGAGAAATGGAAATCAGGAAGAAGATAGTTCAAGGGCAGACAGGGCAAAAATAGCTCACGAGACCCCCAGCCCCATCTCAACCAGTACAAAGCTGGTAACATCCAGCTACCAACCCAGCTGAGTGGAGTATAACTAGGAAGATCTCAGCTCATACAGGTTGGGTATAAATGCAAGCCCCTGCTTAAAATAACTAATGCCAAAAATAGTATTAGGGGCATGGTTCAAGTGGCAGCTGCTGCAAATGTAAACCCTAAAGTCAAATCCAAACACTACAGAAAAGTACATAAATAAAAGCTAAATTTTAAAAAAGATGTCAGCTAACTGGCTCCCATGAACAACCAAACTCACATGCAGGGCCAAGGCTCTGTGTGTGTGTGTGTGTGTGTGTGTGTGTGTGTGTATGTGTGTGTGCACGCATGCACGTGCACATATAGTCACAAGTGCTCAAATAGAAAAAAAATCGCCTCATATTTAATGCAGTTAATAGTCCCTAAATGTTGCAGGCACCTGTGGCTCATGCTGTAATCCTAGCTACTTCGGAGGCTGAGATCTGAGGATCATGGCTCAAAGCCATGAGACTCTCATCTCCAATTAACTACAAAAAGCCAGACGTAGAGCTGTGGCCCAAGTGGTAGAGCACTAGCCTTGAACATAAAAGCTTAGGGACAGCACCCAAGCCCAGAGTTGAAGCTCCAGGACCATAAAAAAAAAACCATAATTCCCACATGCTACTCTAAATACTTTACCTATATTTAATCACTTAATCTCAACTATAATCTTACGAGGTAGGCTCTCTCGTCCTCAATTTATAGACGAGAAAAGCAAAGCCCAAGAAATTATAAATGGCTTTCCCAAGAAAGATTGTACAGTAAGTGGATATCCTACCCATCCATCTGCCACAGACTTCATTAGCACCTGTTTCTCCTCAGACTACCTTCCCAGGTCACTTCCTCTGTGAGGCCTAAGCAGGACACAGGACGTGTATCTCTCAAGAACTGACCAAAATGAAACTCGTCTGCACCCTTGCTGGACATTATTCAGGCTGTTGCCACGTGGGTTTGGGCTGTAGGAGAGAGAGGGCGCAGCTTCTTCGAGAGACGCCCACATCACTGCAGTGTCTCCAGCAGACTCCATGGAACTTTCTCGGTGCATTCTGAGCCCTGAGCAGGCAGGTGTCTTCCATCACGCTCCTTCAGGCAGGGGGTGTGCCTGAGAAGAGCCGTGTCCATGCCAGTCGTGATTGCCCAATGCACAAGGCAAAACAAAAGAGAGGCGGCTCCGCTTCTCCCGTGCTCAGAGTTCTCAGCTGTCAAATGAGCCTTCATCTCTAGAGTTTGTCCAGACTTCCGATCGCCCAACTATTTAGCTTTGGGAGATTCTATCCTCATTCCAGTGTATCAACTGTGGGCAACTGACATTTCTCCAAGCCTGAACCTCTGCAGGGAGAAAGCCCAGGCCCAGGCCCATCCCACCTCTCTCCCTCGAAGAGACCCTAAGGCCGTACGGGTAAAACCATTTTCTGTCTGCTGAGAAAGGTTCTCTTGCTGTCCAAGCAGGAGCAATGCTGTGTTCTGATAACAGCAGAATAACAGAGATAACACTTCTGGTTGGTGAAATTTTTTACCCTCCACTCTGATCATTAATATGACATGGTCTTTTCAAGTTCCTCTACCTAGAGGAAGACTCTTTACAGCAAAAACAAGAAGAGAGAGAGAAACACTGCTTGACCACAGGTTTGGGCCTCCCTTTCCCATCTGCACACAGCAGCAACAATGCAGGCCTCCTGGTCATGTGGTCAGAGATGGCCTCTCTGCCTCTCTCTCCTCGATTTCTGCTGCCTCTGAGCTGCCTTTGTAAAGGCTTCTCCTCCCCCACAGCTTCATCTGAGCCCTACTTTGAATGTTGTACTCACTTACATACATCATTAAGAAAATGAGGGACTCTGTACTTGAAATAGGATATCTCCCTCTCCCTGCCCCAGGTTCCAAAACACATCTCGTTGGTGACAGAAGGTATGCGCAGAAGGCCCTGGGCTGCTACATGGTCTGGAAGACAAAGTCAAATACAGCCTACCTCCCTCCGGCTCCATCTTGAATCCTCGTGACTCACACAGCTCTAACCTTTCACCTTACCTTAAAATAGGCATCTCACATTGGTCAAGATAGATTGTGTTCAGAAACTGCTTTGCAAAAGGGCAACTCCTTTGTGCTTCTACTTAAAGATAACCTTTTCTAAAGTTCAGAACAAATAAAACAAAATAGGCATCTTTTCTGGCTCAAACGCTCTATGCCTTTCACTTGGTTCATGGTCAGGGAAGTTGCATTGAAGTCCTAGCCGGGCTGAGTGTCTAAGCCATTGAACTTCAAAGGCATAGACTACTCTGGCAGTTGGAATTCTTTTATCAGAAGAGCCAATGGTGACCTACTTAGAGTCAGGCTCAGCTGCTGGTAACTATTCATGAGGTCCCCTCCCATCTCAACCCCCAGAATCCAGCTAGATTATCTAGGTCACCTTGCCAAAGTAAGCCAGAGCTCACTTCCTGAGGATCAATGAAACCCAACTGCACAGAGCTGGAGGCACGGATAAAATCCTGCTCCTCCTGTTCTTTTGAGGACAGCCAGGGTAGCATATTTGCGGCTGATGGGCAAGAGATGGTGAGCAGCACGGAACACCTCGGACGGAGCGCTCTGCCCCCCTTTCCACACTGCACCCCTCCTCCATCGGCTCCAAGTTGCGAGCCTTCCTTCAAAGTTCCCGCAGGCAAGAAGACAGGAATACACGCGTGGTTCCTTGGGTTCACCGTTCCTGGAATGAACGGCCCTGTCAAGGAGAGAAGAATCATACCTTCAATAAACAAGTAGCAAGGCCCCAAAACTTCACAGCTGTATTATAAGTTCGCTCTTTCCTGAACAATAATAAGCCTTCGGCAGAGCCCCTCGGGCAGATGGTGAACCACTCTCTTCCCTGTAGGCTCCGAGGGAACTCGGGATCCAGGCTTGCTCTATTGCCTACCGGTGCTCAGTGACCAACTATGTCTTTCTCTAAGTTGGACCACTTCCTTTGAAGTGGAACTTTTCTCTGAAGATCCTGAGCTGTTCCAGAAGGTCCCAGAGGCTGCTGCAGCCCAGATGCTCCAAGGAGGGGGCAGGAGGCGCCCTCTGCATGTCTAGGGTACCACTAGTGCATCTCTGTTTCTCTGTGTGAATCTTGCACTGTGGAAATTGTCATTTCCACAGATTCATTCACGTTTCTCTGAGTTCCCTCACCATCTCCATCTCTGAGAGTCTCCCTGTGCTGATGGGTGTCTCTGCTGAGTGTGTCCTGTCTCCTTCTCTGTTCATGTCTTCTCTCTAGACTTAGAGGAGCAGAAGACACATGATGGGAAGAGTGTGTCTGCATATGTCTGTCTCACTGGCTCTCTTCTCAGCTCTCAGTCACCCATTCCCTCTGTCATCGTGTCTTTTAGTGTGTTTCCCCTGTAGCCCCCTTTTCTAATTTTGTTTCTCTGTGTGCTACTCTACCTTAAACATAAACATCTACCTTAAACACAAATATAAACATCTCCTTTAAATGTAAATTTAAATGAATATCTACCTTAAACACAAACTTCAATGTCTAAGACCTCTCACAAATACTATTTTGCCAGAATTTCTTCATCTTGGTAAGGCTAGAAAAATGCAGGAGGCCATAGTAAGAAATTTAGAGAGGGGCTGGGAATGTGGCTCAGTGGTAGAGCGCTTGCCTACCATGCATGAAGCCCAGGGTTTGATTCCTCAGTGCCACATTAAAAATAAAAAAAGCCAGAAGTGGCGCTGTGGCTCAAGTGATAGGGTGCTATCCTTGAGCAAAAGAAGCTCAGGGACAGTGCCCAGGCTGGGTTCAAACCCCAGGACTAGCCAAAAAAAAAAAAAAAAATTGGAGAAAATGTTGACATGATAAAGGATATGGGGGAAAGGGGAGAACAAGAGAGGAGATATGAGAAGAGGGGACAATGAAATAGCGAAGACATTAGACTTGGCTTCCTTAAACCCACCCAAGCCAGCTCATAGCCTTCTCTTACATGCCTGATTGCTTTATAGGAACAGCAAAAAAGTTTCCCCAAGACCCAGATTTAGTAAAGTGAACATAGCTGAATGCCAGTGGCGCTGAATGCCTACAATCCTAGCTACCCAGGAGAAGAAAATACAGAGAAGCATGGTTTGAAGCCAGTCTGGATAGTTACATCGGTGATATTCCTTCCCCCATATAACCAGCAAACAGCTTGACTGGAAACACGACTCAAGAGGTAGAATACTGGTCCTGAGTAAGATCTAAGTTCCAAACCTTGGTACCAGTAAAAAGAAAGAAAGGAGATACAAACTTCTAACCATAACAAGTGAGAATAAATTGTACCAGAGAACCTTTTCAATTATGAAGAGTTTTCTAACTACAATTAAATTGTAGCTGTTTTTTCTAAAGAAATGGCATATATACATATATATCACATATACACACACACACATATAAATATAAATAAATAAATATATATATATCACATACATGGAGACCTCTGGTTTATACTCACCTCTCAGGTTAGGGATGAAGCCTGAGATATTAGCTTGGCCCTTTGGTGGGTTTACAAGTCAATTCAGAAGAAAAGCTCTGATGAAGACAAAGTATGATTGTATTTATCATGACTAGTTCAGTTGCAATTATCTTCCTGACTCAAAACAACACAAGGAATTATGTCCGCAGCAATTCATGTCACCCTTAAACTGCATCTCTCTCCTCTCCTCTTTATATTAGAATAGTGAACAACATAAGAACAGGCTGGCATAAGAGACTCCCCCCTAGCCTAGCCTGGGCCTCTCTCCCTAAAGAAGCTCCTTGGGGCTTTGAGTGGATGAGTCAAATCATCATGGCAACTGACTCTTCTTGAAAATTGCGATGTTAGCAGGATACTTGCAAGTTCTGCAACCCAGGGATGGAGTCATAAAGAATACCTGGGCCGGCCCTGGTCCTGCCCGGTGGACCAGGAATCCGTAGACTCCCCGGCCCCTCTCATTTGTCTTTCATCACCCATTCTCCAACCCGTGGTCTCTCACCTCTGAGAGCCCGGCAGCCTGCTTTCATCTCCTCGAATGTGGACCTCGAACTCCAGAAAGTGTGTGAACAGTTCAAGGAGACACTTGCTCAGGAAAAATCCACACCACAAAGTACTACAGTGATGGCTTAGCATTTGTCTTGTGAAACTTTGAATCATATGAGTTAGTAGGAGACCTTTACCTCTGATATTCGGGAGATCCAATTCATAGAAGCTACTCGACCCTTAATAGCAGCTCTTATCTAGATATTAAACAAAGGGAATTAAGAATTAATTCTCAGGAGGTTCAGATCTAAGGATCATGGTTCAAAACCATCTCAGTAAGAAAATCTATGAGACTTTTCTCTCCAATTAATCACCAAAAAGGTGGAAATAGAGCTGTGATCAAGGATACCACCCTGGTCCCAAGTTCAAGCAACAGGACTGGCACAAATATATGTGTATATATATATATATATATATATATATATATATATATATACATATCTTTAGTATATACAACATTTTTGTCCATTCATCATGCATACTCCTGTGACAATTTTTTGAGTTTAATTTTAAAATATTAGAGGCTTCACCCTGATAGAAAGACCCAGAGCTTTGGATCCTCTGCTCATTTCATGCACCTTACACTGGTATGCTAAGTGATAATGCTACTGCTTTGCCTGCAAACACTTAATTATCATATTATGAGTGACAAAAGCACAATCCTGTGGTATATAATTGTGTGATATCTTCAGGCTCTCCGTGTGCTTTCAGCCAGGATGGTGACTTTGTTCTCTGCCACAATCCAGTAGAGGCAAGGAAAACATCTTTTATCGCTGTGCTCCACTTGAGGGCTCTGGGACTCACTCACATGGAAATTGCCAAAAAGGTGGTGCCAGGCTCAGGCAGACGCTCTTCCACTGATGCTGGGATGGCAGCCCATTGTAAGTGGAAAATATCCTAAGTCAGAACTGCACCTAACATTTCTAATCTACTGAGCACCATGGCTCATGGTACTAGCTGTTTACCACTGCAGTCTCATGGCTGCTCCTGGACCAGGGGTGGCTGCCCATGCCCAGCCTAGTCAGCAGGCATCCTAATGTACATTACAAACCCAGGAAAAGGTCAAAATTTGAACGAATGCATATATAATGCATATTGCCTTGGTACCATCATAGTCAAAACTATCATAATTTGAACTTTTGTGAATTAAGGACCACCTGTAGATAGAAATATCAAAACTATTATTCTTCCACCTCTGAATAATTTTCACTAGGTTGACATATTATTCTCAGGAGACAATGAAAGGACCATGGGGGGAAATTCCTCTTTCACAAACTTTGATATTGACAATAACACTGATAGATTTCTTTAAAAGCACCACTTAGTAGTGAGGATGAGTGTTTATTTTTGTATTGTTACTGTATATTTTATAAAAATTGAGTAATTTGAGGGCTGGGACTATGGATTAGCAGTAGAGTGTTTGCCTAGCATGCATGAAGCCCTAGGTTCAATTCCTCAGTACCATATACACACAAAAAAGCTGGAAGTGACACTGCGACTCAAGTGGTAGAATGCTAGTCTTGAGCAAAAGCAGCTCAGGGACAGTGCCTAAGCCCTGAGTTCAGACCCCAGGACTAGGAAAAAAATGAGTAATTTGAGTTGACAGTTCTTTCTTCCACACCAGAAAGGGCCGTTTTCCTAATGCCAGGAGGCACTGTGGTACAATGGAGAGAGAGCTCAGACACTGCAAGTACCAAAAGTTCAGAAAAAAAGAGAAGAATTCACATATGGTACCTTTGGGTCCAGGATCATTCCAAACACCAGGATGAAGAAGCCCTGTAAAAGATGGAAGAGAAAAGAAGAGCCATTTAGGAAAGGATGATAACAATAGCAAACGCCATTACTATTGAGGGCAAGAAGAAAACAGTCTTAATCGATATTTAATTTCCCATTGGAAGGTCACAGCAGCTCAAGTCATTCGTGTGACAATCTTTAACATCTTCCACGTACAAGGCTCTGTTTCAGATGCTTGAGATACTTCAGGAAAACAAACAGAACAAGGTTCCTGCTTTACACTGGAACATGGTAGGATCTTTATTCTTTGGCTGTCCTGGGGATTGAACTCAAGGCCTCGATGCTTTGAAGGCAGGATCTCTCCCATTTGAGCTGCCCCAACGAATAACCAATTTGAGCAAGAGTTATTTTTGAAATAGATCGTGAAATATCATTGTTATCAAGATGCAGCTAGTTTGGGGCACTAGGGATATATTCAAAATTGGAATCTAACTGAAGCTGGTGCTTGCCTTTGTTTTTCATTTACTCTGTTGTAAGTCCATGTAATTTGATTTTCACGATGACTGTGTTAACAAAATGACTGAAGAGGCAAGCCAGCTCCAGTGCGCCCGGCCAAGGCCTCCCTGCTTGTCTCTGCTTCTCACGGTCCTGTGGCACCAGTTCCTCAATCAGCCTCACCCCGCTCCTTGCCAAGACTCAAGACAAAAGTGAGTTGAAATTTCAAGTTGATCCCTTTGTGACAGGTGAAAGTACTCAAAATATCAAAATGCAAGTGGTCATAGCCCGGTCCAGAACAAAACGCCACCGCCCCAAGGGAGAAAAAAAAGGGGCCTGCTATGGAATAAGGTCAGAGTTCACTGAGGGCTTATGGAGAACAGACCTGGGGTATGCTGAGCTGTAAATTAGAAAAGACTGGTTTGGGGCCTCAGTTGTATCAGTGACTAGCCATGTATATAGAATTGGCAATTACTGGAAGTAGAGCTGTGCTCAAGTGGTAAAGCACTAAACTAGCAAAAAAGCTCAGGAACAGCACCCTGAGTTCAAGCCCCAGGATCAGTTGTATCAGTGACTAGCCATGTATATAGAATTGGCAATTACTGGAAGTAGAGCTGTGCTCAAGTGGTAAAGCACTAAACTAGCAAAAAAGCTTAGGGACAGCACCCTGAGTTCAAGCCCCAGGACCAGCACACACACACACACACACACACACACACACACACACACACACACACACACACACACACACACACACACACACACACACACACACACACACACACACACACACACACACACACACACACACACACGATTTGGCAATTACTGAGAGCTCTACCAATACATTTTTTTTTTAGAAATACAAAAGAGCATAGATTAAAAATGTGAGGGGCTGGGAAGGTGGCTCAGTGGTAGAGCACTTGCCTGGCATGCATGAGGCCCTGGGTTCGATTCCTCAGCACCACATAAGCAAAAAGAAAAAAGCTGGAAGTGGCGCTGGCTCAAATGGTAAAATGCTAGCCTTGAGCTGAAGAGCTGAGGGACAGCACCCAGGCCCAGAGTTCAGACCCCATGACCGGACCCCCCCCCAAAAAAAAAAATGTGAGAAAGCTCCTATTATTGCCATTATTCTCCAAGACATCAAAGTATTTGTTATAATATGAAATTATTTATATTTAAAATTTGAAAGATCAAAAGTGAGTAGATACTGTGCCTAAAATCTCCATAATCAATTACTTGAAAATAGTCTTGTTGGCCACTGCACATACTCAGGGGGGGAAAAAGAGGAAATGTTTTAGAGTACTTTACAAAAATAAAAGCTTTCTCTGCAATGATTGGCTACCTACACTTTTGATATCAAATGTAGGAAAACCTTGCTTCATCAGTATACTGTAGCAGGAAAAGAAACACTGGAAAACAAAACTTTAATCCTGAAGGAAAGTATTAATATTGAATAGCAAGCAGACATCACAGAGATATACTTGCAGTAAACAGTAAAATTCCAGGTATTTTTCTGGGAGAAACCAAGTTGTGTAATTATATGCATATATATTTTTTAACCCTTATATTGTGCAACCATATAGTCGGATTAGCATAAAAATGTTGCAAGTATAGATATGAAACTGAACATTAATGATGCATGACTAAGGGAGAAAAGAAGCTGCCTCAAACACCTCCCTGTCTAGTTTGTCTCGTGAAAGTAAGCTGATCTTCAATTATAACTAAAACTTCTAAGTGGCCAGAGGTAAATCATAAAAATTTAATACCTGCAGCCTGAAACCTAACTTTTGGAGGGAAATGTACTGCTTAATTTCTAAATAGTAACAACTCCGCCTATTGGGAAGCCATTTTTAACTTTCAGGTTATTTTAGTACTTATTGCTTCCCAATTCACCATTTTACTCCATTTTCCAAACATCTCAATAATCTGGGCAGCATAATACCCAGTTTATGGATAAAGGAACTATGCTTGAAATATTAAATAAGTTCTCCAACTCCATGCATTATCAGTAAGTGAGACACTCAGAATTGAAATCTGAGCCTTTTGGGAATTTGAACTTCTTTCCTCCTCACTCACTGCCTATTTTATTGTTTGTTTGGGGGAGCAAAGGCTTCAATAAAGCTCTGGTATTTATTGGTGTTAAACAGCCTACAAAACTGCAAAGGTTTTTGGTCATTTGTTTATCATGCTGAACCTCAAAAGTCTGTATAATGGGATTAGGTTTAATATGTCCATCTAAATGTCCAGTGCTTCTTAATCGGAGCACCCCTTCCATTATTCTCCCTCATCCTATCTGTTCCCTCCTGCTAAGATAATGTCACATTTTTCCAGCAACAAACACTGCCAAGTACGTGGGCAAAAGTAACCCTAAGATACTGTCAATGGGGTATAAACTAGCACAACCAGTATGGAGACCAGTATGAAGATTCCTCAAAAAGATACATAAATAAGCATAGAGTTACTCTCAGGTCCAGCAATACAGGCCTGGGTGTTTATCTGAGAGACTGAATGTCAAGATCTAACGAAGGTATCTGCACACCCATGTTCACTATAGCACAGTTCACAATGGTCAGCTTACAGAAACAGCCCAGATGCCCTACCACAGATGAATGGATTTCCTAAATGTGGTAAATACACACATGATGGAATTCTACGCAGCCATTAGGATGAATGAAAACATTCTCGCTGTCTCTTATGGGGAAATCTGAGGGCGCGGGTTTTGGACTTCATGGGAGCACTGAGACTCACCTGGAATGCGTTAAGCAAGGAGAAGACGATGTGGAAGGCCAGGGAGCTCCCGTCGATGGCCACGGCGATGCCGAACCCCCACGTCAGGCCCAGGAGTGGGGTGAGGATGGCAATGTTCTTGCTGATCCTCATGACGGCTCTCACTTCCTGGAACATGGAACTGCCCATGGCCACTCTCTGGGTCTTGATGATCACCAGCATGACAGTGACCAGGTTTACCACCACAATGGCCAGCGCCGGGACCACGAAGGCCAGGAGGGCCTTGGTCAGGTCCCAGTTCAGCCAGCAGACGTGAAGCCGTAGGTAGCCATTGCCAGGCTCAGTGACAGCCACTGTGATGACAGCAATGACCAGAGGACATCCGTAACCCACTGAAAAGAGAAACGCCACCAGGACGGACTTGGGCAATGTATGGAACACGATCAAAATCCCATAGAGGATAAGGAGCGCTTTGGCCAGCATCCAGAAAAACACAGAAAGGTAAAAGAAGTGAACGAAAAACGTTGCCGCCACGCATCCGCTGTGGTGTTTGATTGGACCACTGAGGAAGGAAGCCACGATGAACCACACATCGGCCATCAGCAAGGTGGCTGCAATGTTAGCAATGCACACGTGGCGCAAATAAGAAATCTCTGTCTTGGTCACTTGAGTCCAGACCAGGGCTTCAATGGTCAGGCAAATGCCCAAGCTGCAAATCGAAATGCCCAGGCCGATGTATGTGATATACATCAGAATTGGGTTCTCTAAGGGGTGAGGTGACATAAGAATAGAAAAAGAGGTAAATAATTTGTTTGGCCAACACCGGCAAATGACTTGCTGGGAGTTTTCTTGAATCCTTTCGCAGGCCTGCTGGTCCCATCTGCTCTCCAAGGAATGCCAGCCAACACACTGTGTCTTCCTTTCCTCTGAACTTCTGATCTTTTCAAAAATCAGAGAGATCCTTTTCAGCTCCTGGGGCAAAATGACAGATAAGACAAGCCCATTCACGGTGACATTTTCCAATAGGCTGGCTTCCAAGATAGCCCCCAGAGTTGGAAACGCAATGCTGATGATCTGAGAGGGGGAAGGCACTCTTTGAAGATCTTCTTTACTGATCAAGACCTTCCCTGTGACTTCCCTGCTGGTGTCATTAACTCTCATTGCAAAGCTGAGATTCCTTCTGGCATGGTGTCCAGAGAGGATGGCACCCGTGGTATGAATGAAGGCGCGCGCCACGTCAATGGGATGTTTGTTGAGCAATAGCTTTCTTGCGAAGGAATTGACTGAATGGAGCAGGATGGAGCTGCTATTTCTGTCGGGAATGAAGGTCCAGTTCAAGATGCTTTTGCTGTCAAGAATGTGGTTGGCCATGGTGCTGTAACTCTGCCAATGAGAATGACAGTTATTAATCATGCTCAGCACTAATGGAGCTTCCAAGCTATTCCAGCCGCACTTTTACAACACGCAGTCTCCAAGCAGCAGTTGGACTAGGAGGAATTCCCTGAGAACGTCTTAGACATGGGCCACCTCAGGCCCCACCCGAGACTTCAGAAATCAGAATCCGCCTTTTACTTGGCTCCCCAGGTGCCTGGCATGCACAGTCAGCTGTGCACGCAGATAAAGCCACAGGGGACGTGCCCTCCTGGGCTCTCCTCCTCTCGTAGGATGCCTTCCCGGGAGGCTTCTGCTCAGTCCATCGCCACATGCCCTTCACCCTGCAAGCACAAGCAACTTCCTACCCTGTCATGGAGCCCACTGTGTTAGATCCCAAATGCCTCGCAGGACCCTGTACAGAAACATAGGAAACTGGAATTCTGTGACCCGAGGCTGAGATCTGAGGATCACAGTTCAAAGCCAGCCGGGGCAGGAAAGGCCGTGAGACTCTTATTTCCAATAAACCCCTTGGAAAACTGGAAGTGGTGCTGTAGCTCAAGTGGTAGAGTGCTAGCCTTGAGCTGAAGAGCTGAGGTTCAGCGCCCAGGCCCAGAGTTCAAGCCCTACAACCAACCAAAACAAACAAACCAACAAACATGAGAAGTGGATCCAGTCCCGTTGTGTACTCTCTAGTTCCTGGGGTCGTATTTGCTTTGCCTTCAGCTGGTTGTCACCTCAGCCACTTATTCAGACTCACAAATAAAAGTGAGACATCTTTCTCTCTGCAGGACCTACAGTGTTTCTTAGAGGACTGCAGTAGCTAAAACAGTAAAAGCACAGGCCGGTGCCTACTGCAGTACCAAATATGCACTCTGTGCTCGCTTTTTCCTTTTGCTTACTGGTTTCTTCTTCGATAAAAGTTTATTGAGTACTTGCTATGTAGGCATTGGGAACAATGAGGTGAGAAAACAGTCTTCAGCTCCCAACAAGCTCACCAGATGCTCCAACTACTCAGAATTCCCTTCCCAGGTGGAGAGCCCCCCATGAGCTCATGCAGGGTCTCTTACCTGCATCTTTGCCTCATTCACATTTGCCATTAGCTCCATTGATATGTTGTGTAACAGCTGCACAATGACAGCGATGTTTCCCGGTAACTGGGGAGAATGCTGGATGGTTCTCGTGACACAAGACAAATCCTCAGGGCACTTCTGCAACAGCTTCTCTGCTATGGTCTCGTATTTCCTAGGAAACTCATCTACCTTTGTCCTTGCTTCAAATTCCTGAACTGCCTGTAATTCCTCCTAAGAAAGAACCAAAACAAAGGAATCTTCACTGTATCATGTGCACCCAAGAGAAAGCACTCTGGCTAAAATTTAGAACAGCTTTATTACACAATTGCAGATTGGATTTTTGATTCTCATTTCCAAAATCACACCTTGGATGGAATAGTTTGACCCATGACAAGGTATATGGAGCAAAGAAAAAAAGTCCTCCCTTCCAAATGACCTACTGGTATGTGGAGCAAAAAACTAAAAGTCCCAACTTTTCAACTGCCTACTGCTGAACCCACTCTCCCAGACGTCAAGTGTCATCTTTATCATTCCATTTCAGACAGCACTGTGTCTCCTTAGTGCATGTCTGTCTTATGCAGGGACACATGAATTCCCTACACAACACCCAAGCCCCTTCCCAGGCCTGAAGGAAGTCTGTCCCTGGGTGGATGGTGGGCATGCCACCCCCTAGGGGGCGTGCTCAGCCCTAGGCCTCTGAGGTAGCCCCTGGGAACTTTTCTCAAAGTTATGCGTACTTGTCTTGGCCATCCCCTACACCAGAAGAACAGAATGAAATCTAGAGTCGACAGCAGACAGAATACACTTTATTTAGCATTTTGAAAGCTAGCTTTAGAGCATTTAAGCAATAAGACACATTACATGTGAATCTCTAGGTGCATGCTTCCAGATTCCCAGGGTGTTAGAGCTGGTCAGTATTTTGAAATTATGTGATAGATTTCTGGTATAAAAATATTAAATACCCTCAGAGCCATACACACACACACACACAAAACAAAAACAAAAACAGGATGAGAATGTTAAAACAAAAGAAAGGCCAAACAGACTCCTGCGAAGGAAAACAAGAGCTAAACCTGAAAAAGTCAGTCCATGCCAAAAGCAGAAAAAGAAGCCAAATGGGAATGAAAGAGCAATTGCCCTGGTTTTATTATAATTTAATTCAATACATATGTAATTGCTTGAGTACGTATAAAAATATTATAGTTTGAGGAACATATTTGTGACAATTTAATCCTACCCTTTAGATCAGCTTGCCTTTCTTGTTTTAGTGAGAACAGAAATCAACAGGAAATCCTGATAGGATATAGACTCTGATGTGCTAGTTCTGGTATGGGACCCAAATTATATACTCTCAGTATCAACAATTCAGAGAATGAAAGCCAGGCATCAGTGGCTCACGCTTGTAATCATAGCTACTTAGGAGGCTGAGATCTGATGATCATAGTTTGAAACCAACCCATAGCACAAAAGTTATTGAGATTCTTATCTCCAATTAACAAGCAAAAAAACCAGAAGTGGAGCAGTAGCTCAAGTGATAAAGTACCAGCCTTGAATGAATAAGGTAAGGGACCGTGCCTAGGCCCTGAGTTCCAACCCCAGTACTGACACACGCGTGTGCATGTGCACTCACACTCAGAGACACACACACATCAATTTGGGGGTATTAAAGAGCCTAAAATGAAGATAAAGAAGTTGACTGTGACAACTCTGAGTATCTCTCCTAGCTATAACCTAAATATAATATCAACTTCCTCCATGTCGTGCAAGGGTGTGGGGAATAGAAGTATGAACTCTCAGAGGCCCACAGTTAGAAGCATGAGGATGTTAGGTATCTGTGTATTCAACCTCATGTTCCACCTCTCCTTAACTCAGGACAATTTGATTGGCTGCTCTGCACACAGCGCCCCCATAAGAATCCACGTTGTGAGGGAATGGGTGTTACCTCAAAGATGTTGAAGGCATTCAGGGTCCGGCAGGTATCTGTGATTTTGTGCCATGTCTTTGTCCTGCATACAAACCCCATATTTCCCTCAATCCCTGGAGGGCAAAGCTGACTGCAGTGGGCATTTTCCTCCACACAGATTCCATCACACGCAACTGAGAAAACAAAAGTCATCCGTGTCAGAAGGGGAAGTCTGAACTCTAGACAGCAGGCATTTCAGCATCCTCCTCCGTCCAACACAATCTTATTCTGAGCTGCAGGGTGTGACACAGAGAAAAGCAGACCACCCTGGTGAAAGGGCGTGGAAAGATTTCCACAGCTCGATTCAGTGTGTCTCACTCAGGCCCACAGCCTGTGTTCTAGGTCAGCTCTAGAACCTCTGGCTCTATTGTTCTTCATGGTCTCTAGAGAGCCGTCAGCTCCAAAACTTTCTCAGAGACTGATTCCAACCACTGCCCTGGTGTGATTTCACTCAACATAAAAGAGTTACGGCAAGGAAGTCTCCGGTCAGGATGGAGCAGAGGATGCTAGCAGCCGAGAGGGGCAAGGCCGGAGCCAAAGACACAATTCAGTGTAAGGAAAACAAATCAGGGCAAAGGCAAGCCCTTAAGGGGGAGTATCTGCTACATCATGGGTCAGCGGGATGTGAATGAGCAGGCCTCACAGCCACGACAGTGAGACCTGGCTGTGCGGGTATCAATGGTTGCCAACATACCGTGTAGCCTGTTAGGCACCTTCTCTTTGCTTTTGCTGGTGGCCTAGAGAGAGAACAACAACATTCATATCGAAATCAATCATCAACATGTTCAAATTAGTCACCAACAATTCACCAGTGGTCCCACCTTGGCTTCCAAAAGCCAAAATATGAAATATGATTCCATGATCCCACGTTCCCTTCACCTGCCCTCCTCTGTGCATACACACTCTTCCTCCCCCCTCCCTCTCCCTCCTCCCTCTCCCTCTCCCTCTCCCTCTCCCCCTCCCCCCTCCCCCTCCCCCTCCCCTACCCCCTTCCTACCTCCCTCTCCCCCCTCCCTTCCTCCCCCCCCTCTCTCTCTCGGAAGAGAGCATTGGTCTCACCAAAGTTCAAGAAGGTTTTATTGAGTATTCATGGAACAGAATATCCTTGAAATGACTGATGTACAATAATCTTTCATTTCACAGTCAAGAAAAGAAAACCTTATGATATAAAACTGAAGAGCTAAAAGTTCTTCCACTAAACATAAGAAAGCTAAAATAATATTTTTACAGAGTTCTATAAGTCCAACTCCTTTACTTTACAGATAAGAAAACTAACCTTGAGAAATGAGTAATGCGAAGGACGTGCCAGAACCTTCTATAAGCTTAGAACTCGGTCTATAGTGTGGAAGGAAATACAGTCTTCCTCAAAATACTCCAACACATCCTGATAGGGTCATGGCCTTTTTACTAATACACTATGACAAATGTGATTAAAAGTCAACTTTCCATTATTCTGGGCCCATTAAGCAAACTCCAACAACAGATTAATTAGGCACACATGCAGGAGGCCACGTGTCTTATTGATAAATTATGGGAAAACTGCTGTAAGTGAAGAACCTGATTCACTTCTTCCCAGCTAATTTCCCAAAGCATATATTTGATTCCACTGGACATCTCTAGGGTGGCATCCAGATCGGGCCCCTTTAGCTTCGGACACCAACGGCCTTGTTTTGTGAATAAAGAGAATGACAAACCAGTAACCCGCTGAACCTGCTGGGTTGCCTGGTGCGTAGGGAGTCAGGAGAAGGGCTGTGCCCAGCAGTGCGGCTTCAGCAAGCTTGCACCAAGTGCCAAGGAAAGGAAGGATGGAATCTTTCTGGTAAGGTGAGATTCCCCGGAAATCAAGAAAAACAAACCCAGCCTTCTCAGGCACAGTCTGAGTCCACATCTCTCTTGTAGAAAAAAATGTAGGTGACAAAAAAAAATAGATAGAATGGGAAGGAACAATAGCACCGAACTGTGATGTGAGGTTGGGATGTCTCTGACACAATGTCTCTCCTGAGGGTTCTATCTTCCCCCCAAAACCAGATATCTCTGCATGAGTGGAGAAGGGGGGCTATGAGAATATTCCCGGCCAAAGGCAAACTACTTGGTAGATAAACAAAACATTATTTGGAAAACTTAAGAAAAGGACTCCCAGCCAGGCGCCGGTGCCTCACACCTGTCATCCTAGCTACTCAGGAGGCTGAGATCTGAGGATCGAAGTTCAAAGCCAGCCTGGGCAGGAAAGTCCATGAGACCCTTATCTCCAATTAATCACCAGAAAACCGGAAGTGGCACAGTGGCTCAAGTGGTAGAACACTAGCTTTGAGCTGAAGATCTCAGGGACAGTGCCCATGCCCCATGACTGACAAAAAAAAAAGAAAGAGAGAGAGAGAGAGAGAGAGAGAGAGAGGAAGGAAGGAAGGAAGGAAGGAAGGAAGGAAGGAAGGAAGGAAGGAAGGAAGGAAGGAAGGAAGGAAGGAAGGAAGGAAGGAAGGAAGGAAAGAAGGAAGGAAGGAAAATAGCAAAATGAGAAAAGCAAGAAGCTGAGAATCTAGAGACAGGCGGGCTCTCGCACTGGCCTGTAACTCAGCAATCAGGTGTGTCCTGTGAACACCAGCCCAGTCTCTCTATCACAAAGTAGGGAGCAGAGCTTCACCAGTTAGCCACAAAGCTCCCTCCTCAATCTTGTGGTCCGATACTAATACTCCCTTCTAAAGATGCCCAAAATGCTTTTCGGTTCCAGTCCTGGGGCTGGAACTCAAAGCCTGGGTGCTGAACCTGAGTTTATTTTGGTCGAGGCTAGTGCTCTACCACTTGAGTTACAGTTCTGCTTCTTCTTTGTTGGGTAGTTAATTCGGGATAGAGTCTCATGGATTTTCCTGCCTTGACACTTTTAACAGCAATCCTCAGATTTCGGCACCCTGAGCAGTTAGGATTATAGGTGTGAGCCACAGACACCTGGTTCAAAATACTTCTATATCCTCTCTCTCTCTCTCTCTCTCTTGCTCTCTCTCTTGCTCTCTCTCTCTCTCTCTCTCTCTGCCACTATTCCCCCACAATCTATTTTACATACATGACTTAAGAGAGAAGCTAAAAAAGACTTACAGTGTGAGAAAGGATATTCTAGAAAGAGCCATGAGGCTCATTGCCACATGCAACCAACTCCACCCCAATTCAACTTTGCTTAACCATAGATCATCTCCAAGTCCCCCATTACTCCTTCTAGTCCATTCCAAGTGTTCACAAACAGGATCCTCAATGAACGTTTGCATTTGGGGCGGGAGACAGCTTCATTGTGCCACACCATTTTCAGTACTGCCCACGAAATGCCTTTAACATACCCCAGTCTCCATGGTTACCCTCACTACCTCTACGTGTGTATGTGTGTGTGTGCTGGTCGTGGACTTGAACTCGAGGCCTGGGTACTGCTCCTGAGCTTCTTTTTGCTCAAGGCGAGCACTCTACTACTTGAGCCACAACATCACTTCCAGCTTTTTCTGAGTCGTTTGTTGGAGACAAGAGACTCACGGACTTTCCTGCCTAGGCTGGCTTCAAACTATGAGCCTCAGATCTCAGCCTCCTGAGTAGCCAGGATTACAGGTGTGAGCCACCGGCACCTTGGCCACATCTACATTTGAAGTAAGTAACATTATCCCTGTTATGAGCAACGAGAAGCTCCACTACCTGAGGACACGGGAGGCAATTGCCTTAAATCAGTTCAGCGCCAGTCGGGCCTCCGAACTTAATGATGTACAACTGGATAAGGGGGAGGGGATGATGGGAAAGTAATTGAGAGCTTTTTCCTGAAATTGTTTGTGTTTGTCTGTTTGTTTGCTGTTGTTGTTCACTCTCCTGGCCAATCTGGCCATGCAACCACCACATTCTCCTTCCCTTGGGCTTCCAGGCAACACCGCTGGTTAAGTGACGGATCCTGCTATCCCTGCTCTGCCCACCCCCTCTCCTCGGCCCCTCCTCTCACCTGGCATAATGTCCTGCAGGACTCGATGGGCAGAAGACACAGCAAGCAGGACAGCAGAATGGCGGGGCTCATCGTCGTCCTCACCACGGAGGTGCTCGCGTCTCTAAAAGACAATCAACGAAAGGAAAATGCTTGCAATCTGAAGCTTGGATAGGGACGGCATCAGGCCACGGCAGACCCAGCCCGCCTGGGAGTCTACCTTCATTCGGAGCCATCTGCTCCAAAGGCAGTGTCCCTCAATTTGCCATCCACTTTACCAGGAGCTCCCCGGGGTACACTGCTGGCCCACACTGGAGGCCCCGGGTCCAGGCCATGCCTCCCCCTCTGCTCCTGGCTTGAATGTCCGTCACTCCTAGTGTGGGACTTCCTCCAACTGAACCTGCTGCTTGGCAGATTCACCTTGCCTACCAGGCTGTCACAATAACAGCCTGAGCCCAGGAAGCAGGCATGGCGGCCGCGGGTTTTAGGTAAGGCTGAGAATCGTGTAGGTGGCTGTAGCACATGCGCTGCGGCTCCCATGGGTAACAGGTTTCTTTGGAAGGAATGGAAGCACCGGGAATGTCCTGTTTTCCTTCTCTCGGCCTTCTGGCTGGGGCTGGATTTGCATAGGTAGGGAATAACTTCAGAGCTGATCCGCTGTTCCAAAACTAAACCACAGGGGCTGGGAAGGTGGCTCAGTAGTAGAGTGCTTGCCTTGCATGCCTGAGGCCCTGGGTTCGATTCCTCAGCACAAAAAAACCACATAAGCAAAAAAAGAAAAAAGCCGGAAGTGGCGCTGTGGCTCAAGTGGTAGAGTGCTCTCCTTGAGCTGAAGAGCTGAGGGACAGCGCCCAGGCCCAGAGTCCAGGCCCCACGAACGGACCCAAAAAAAAAAAAAAAAAAAACTAAACCACGTCTTAAAACATTCCCACAAAATACGCTCAATAAAGAAAGAGGAAAGGAGGAAGAGGAGATAGGAAAAGGGATTTTTTTTTTGACATTGGACAGCTACTAGCACTGGTTCCTGTTCTCTGAAGGCAGAAAGGTTAGAAGAAGAAAACTTGTGCCATGGGAAGCATGTGGCTCTGTTTTGACTACAAACCCCCACCACCTTCTTCTGACTCCCCTGCGTCCAGTGAGCATGGTAGCAAGGGCTGGCTGGAATATAACTCTCGCTTCCTAAGCAAATGTTTGAAAGGTAGCTTCATGGAGCCTAAGCCAAAAACTTCGCAAGCATCTGTTCCATGTCAGAAAAGGCTTATCTCTAAAGAATACACAACCTTAAACAAATTATAAAATTGAAAGTCATTTGGTGTGACTGACATCCAAAGAAATCCTTATACCAGCGCTGAAATTCCACAAGTTGAAATATGCCAAGGAGAACATGCTACATCTTTTTTTTTTTTTTTACTAAAATACTAAGGAACAGCCAGGCTCTGATAACTCACGCCTATAATCCTAGCTACTCAAGAGGCTGAGATCTGTGGATGGTGGTTCGTAGCCAACCCAGACAGCAAAGTCCATGAGACTTTCATTAACCAAAGAACCAGAAGTGGAGTTATGGCTCAAGTGGTAGAATGCTGGCTGTAAGCATAAAAGCTGAGGGACAAAAAGCCCATACTCTGACTTCAAACCCCAGGACTCACACACACACACACACACACACACACACATACACACACACAAAGGAATACCTTTTCCCACTCCCTTATTTATGAAAAAGAAAAACATAATGGCACAATGTCAAGATTCACAAAGAGATAAAGTGTCCAGTCACCAAACCTGGATTAAACATTCCTGTTCTCTCTTATCTGATTTTCAGACCAGCAGAAGGTACTAAGATACTAACTAATGCATAAGTGCATATAACAAACAAAACTGGAGCCTTTCATTACCACTCTGTGCACTAGCAGCTAGAAATCACACAACCGTTAGAGGGTCACTGCTTGCTTGCTTGCTCAGCCTAAGGGCTGAGAACTTGGATAGTGCTTGCTCCCTAGAGAAGAACAGGCAACTCTGGCATATTCAGCTTTACAAGGAGTATTCCAAAGTTCCAGGTCCCACCAAACAACTCTCACCTTTGTTGACAATTTAATTTTAAAGACAGAGCAAGAGTGCATGTGTGTGTTATGCTGGGATGCATTGTCCCCCTCAGAAACAAGCATTTGCCTAACTGAAACACACACACACACACACACACACACACACACACACACACACACACACACACACACACACACACACACACACACACGAGCATAATTTTGAAGGGGAAAAAAAGTCCTTTATAACTTGAACTCTCATATCTAAACACCAAAAGTAAGAACTTGAACAGGAGTCACAAATCACAGCAAACAAAGGTAAACAGAGCCCCAGACAAAACGTTGCCAGCCAGACCAGGAGTACTCTAATCCCCAGCTTTGCCGGCTGACAGCCTGGGACTCCTACTTGCACAATTAGGGTTTGTTGTGGTTTCACATGGGATTCCAAAAAGCACTGCAGAAGTCCATGCCCAGACAGACTGGGTACACAGCGCAGACGATCTCAGAGGTGGAAGATTCCCCAGCACCCATCTGTTTCACTCTGTCTATGACCAGTGCATTTGCCTACCTGAAGGCAGTCCTCATGGGAGGGAGAGGAGGAGAAGAAAGTCAAGTTACTGCATGGCTACCCTGTGTTAGGGAGTGTTCCTACGTTCACTCCTGCTTCCAGAATACCACGTACCTTCCTAAAATAAGAAAGGGATGACCTTTGTACAGATTTAATTCTTTCAGAGTGCTTTCACAAATAGCTTTTATGGGTTCTTGGTTGTTGTTGACAGTATTGAGATTTGAAATCCGGGCTTTATGTCTGGTAGGCAGGCATACTTCCACTTGAATCACAAATCCCAACAATTACAACTTTAATCATGATGTTGTACTAATCTCATGAGGCAGGGAGGGAAGCTGTTTCTTTTGCTTTTGCTCTCTTCTACCATAGAGGAGACGGTGGTTCAGTTAGTGAGTGGCTTTCTCAGGGCCACGCTTGAACTTACTGGATGACCCAAACCTCTTGTGGTTCATGGTATTATACTCTTGTCAGAAGTCACCCTTCGATATTCACAGTGGATTGTGCCAGGCTCCCCCTGGATACCAAAACTCAGGGATTCTCAATTCCCTCACACTTAATAAAATGGCATTGTATTTGTATATGACCATCACACATCATCCATTATACCAGAACTGATCTCTAGATGGCTTATGATAACTAATATAGAGTCAGGCCTGGTGGTACTTGCTTGTAATCCCAGCACTCAAGGTCATCACTCAGGATGATTATGTTATATAGCCGGCCTAGGCTGTATAGCAAAAACCTACCCCAGGAAAAAAAATTCAAACATTAGAATAATCATAGAGGCACTATCTCAGATCAGTAGGCCAAATATTATACCAAAGTGCTACCTCTTCATGCGCTTGGCTGAGTCCTCACTTTCCTCCCAGTATGGAAAACATTAAACCAATGTCATCGGCTTGGTGGTGGATGGCTTCTCTAATCCTGTTTTGAATTGGATGCGGGTTTTAAGACGTGCTGAAGAATGGACGGCACCTCGACGGGAAACATCAACAGGGAACAGCGTGAGCCACGCAGATGGCCACTCTGCCGGGCGATTGGTCCAGCAAGGTGTGCCCTGAGAACCGTCTACCTTTGAGTCACCACAAGCTGAAAGATGATGTCACCTGGCAGGCAGGCGTTGCCAGGGAAGACACTATGAAAACAAATGTGGCCAGATGCTAGTGACTCACACCTGTAACCCTAGCTCCTGGAGACACTGAGAATGGAAGATCAGGGTTTGAGGCCAGCTGGGAAACAAAAGTTCCTGAGACTCCTTCTCCTCCCCCAGCAGGCACCTGGCACCTGCCTGTCATCCCCAGCTATGGGGGAGGCTGAGAGGTTTAAGATCAGGATCCCAGGCCAGCAAAGGCTGTGCAACTCCATCTCCACGGAAGAAGCTGGGTAGAAGCAGTGCATGCGTGTGTCATACCAGCTACCGGGGGACACCTCAAGTAGTAGCATCCTGTGGTCTGAAGCCTGGGCTCTGGTCTAGAAAGGAAGAGAGACCCTATCCTAAGATCATCCAGCACTAAAAGAGTCTGGAAGTGTAGCTCTGCAGTACAGTATCTCTCCAGCAAGTACAGAGCCCTGAGTTTGAACTCCGGTACTAATTTTTTTAATTGTATAGGAATTTTAACTAGGTAAACACAACCTATGGGAGCACGTGCAGCTTTTCTCAGACTGTCATATAGAAAGAGCTGCAGGAAACAGCAACTTTTCTTACAGAAATTGTAGGTATAGTAGCAAAAAAAAAAAGGAATAAAGATGCCAAACAATGATAAGCACATACCAAATTATGCCAAATCTCTCTAAAGAAACACTGGCACACATATCAAACGTAATGCTTAGGAGGAGTAGTGATAAAAAAACATCAGTCTCAGAAAGTGGTATTATATAAGATTTTAGTATTAATAGGAAAAAGCAGTCAACCAGACTTGTCTTGCACATACAGGGAACAAGGCCAGCGAGATTTCCTACCCACCACATCTGAGTCACCAACACCTAACAAAACACTAAAAACATACAACCATCTCACTTCAACAAAATGAGCAAAGGGGAAAATATGTCAATGGAACAACTCAAAATGGCAGAGGGTAAAACTTTTAAAATTCTGAAATGGAATAGAATACAGTAGAAGAACATTTTCTCAGCACTGGAAATATGAGATTATTTTCCTTTTAATATTTTTCTGATATATGAGGTCTGACAAAATGTCTTTTTTTTCCTCTCCAAATTTAGATTGCCAGGCAGGAAGAGCTATCATCATGCCAAATTCCCACATTGGATTCAATCAGTGAGAAACCAGGCTGGAGGCATAGCTCAAGTGGCCGAGCACCAACTAAGTGAAAAAGTAAGCTAAACAAGCATGAAGACCCGAGGTCAAATCAGCCTCTGGTGAAAAACAAAAAACATCTTCTGACTTACCAATATACCTTTTAAAAATAAACTACCAGAGCTTAAATAAAAGGTAGATGAACTAGAACATCCAGATAGTAAGGGAA